ACCCATATGATAGTTTCTCTTGCTCATCACTGGTGATGTGGTGCATAGAAGTTCCTCACAGAAGGTAAGAAAGTTGTTGAATCGCAATGATTTTGGACATGCTAGATGATGCCTGGAATGAAATGTTTTAGTTAGGATGTGGTCTTGGATGGTGCAATAGCACAAAGATGATTTTCTTTGTTTAGACAGGTTTATCGAAACCTTAAAGATTTGCATTTTGTAACTAATAATTTTTTACACATTCATTGATGCTACTTGTTTGAAGAAAAGCACATCATCTCTTTAATTCACAATTTGTAAATCTTGAATCTATGCACGAAGCACGTGATCATCTTCTTAACTCTAAATCTGTAAATATCAAATCCATACAATTTTAGTAAAACAAATAGGTTTGATACTCATGTTTATATTTACATGGATTACACCACTCGGAGAACATGGGGGGTAAGCATTAGTTTCATTCATTGTAATAACAAAATACAATCTTATCACCCAATATTGTTCTCTTATTAATTACAATTTCATTGTCAACCAAAATTCAAATCACAATCCCCTAACAAAACAAATTCAGACAAAAACCCAACAATCAAGATTTTTTTTACTTTCATCTTTTCTCTGATCTAGTTTAACTATAGCAAACCACATCGTTTTTGTTATTCACTTTCTAATAGATATGCAGAATTTGCTTTGAAATCAGTTTTGACCTTTACTCAGTGTTTATTCATTTTTTGGAGTCATCAACCATCATAAACAATTTGTTTTTGTTCTCGCCAGTGTTATTAAACTCGGCTCGGACCGATCGGGTCAACTGGTTGAACTAGGAACTGGACCACACACTGAACTGAGTGACTTGAAAAACTCTTTTTCTATGACTCGATCAAAATCGGTCAAAACTCCGAGTGAACTGGGAACCAAGCAAAACTGGTTCGACCCGGGATTTATGTTTTTTTGCACTTTTGGACCAAATATTTACTTTTTTCCCATGGTTTTCTGTTTCTTTCTCTTGCTTTCCTGGTCCAAATGTTTGCCTTTTGCTCTTAAATAGCCCAACAACTTTTATTTATGAATTAATTTGTCATTCTAGTCCCAAATATTTTACTTCAACTTATTAAATAAACATCCTTTTATTATTTTTCTCAAATATGAACTCCTATTATTTTATAATAAATTTAAACTATACCTTGAGTATGTTGAAATTGATTTATAGATATATATATATATTATTAATAATAAAAGTTGATTACCTCGTAATTTTATAAATTTTAATCATAAGTAATTAATTTATGTTAATTGTTAAAGTAAATACTTATGAAATTAAATACTCCAAAGTATTATTGACTATTACCATAAAAAGATTCATGAATATTAAGTCTTTTTAATTTTTAATATATTTTTTAATAATATATTATTTATTACGTCGTAATGATGTCATCCGAGTCGACCCGAATCGACCCCTAAAACCCCTGACCACTACCCTCGCGAGTCAGTGTCCGAGCCCAGTCTAACAACACTGGTTCTCGCTGCTTTTCACAATATTTTAACATGGGTGTTTATTGCACAAGTTCCAATAATCATTTATCTATTGTGCATGTGTCATCTTATGTGGTTCATTTACCAAAGCTTAATGCAAGAACTTTTTTTCACATAATTTTAGAATTTTTTGACATGGCAAATTGATGAAAATTATACTTTTAGTGTATGAAGCTTGATTAAAAAAAAATTCTTAACATAGTTTTCCATGAATATTTTATTTTCATGTATGAAAATTAAAACATGTGGCAATTAAAATAAATGTATCTATTCAATTAAAATTTCTGAAAAATCATTGAACCATCATATTCTTTGAATATTTTCTTTTTTCTATATGAAAGTTGAAACATGTGGTCATGAAAATTGATGTATCTAGTCAGGAAATGGAGGGAGATCAAGAATGTAGGTGAGTGACATTAGGAACTAAATAAAATTAATTTTCATACTTTTCATTAATTAGATTTACAGAATTCTAACATATATTGCATGTGTTTTTTAATACGAGTAATAAATTTATGGGGGAATTTTCGTGGGAGAGATATTTTGAGCAATTATAGAATGGTTTTTATTATATATGGGATAGTCTCCTCATTTATAGTATATGCGAGTGGAATATTAAAGAAATGTAAAGAAAAATTTAATTGTTTATACGTATGTGTCTACTACATTTTGAAAACCAGTACACCTAGCTATGTGGACAATGGGTCCTGAAAAAATTGTTGAGAACCAATTCATAAGACTGTACAATAATCAAATTAATGATGCATAATAATGGCCATGTCAAAGCTACTACATTTAATTTTGAAGAATTTTACGTCCATTAGTATTTACATCACACAATTTTCAAGAGTTTTTCAAACAAAACCCTAGTATAACTATCATAATGTGTTACCAAGAAAAAAATGATAAAAAACTATCATAATGCGTGACAATATTGGAAACATAGATGTGTATATGGATTCTTAGTTTTGATCTGTGTAAAATGTTCTTAACGCTTAACACTTTGATATGGAAATGTACAATTGGGGCATATTATTAATTAACATACTTCTTAAATCATCAAAAAATTTTGTTGACGATAACTGCATATGACACAAAAAAAACAATTGTTTCATTTTATTGCTTTGAAACAAAACAACACCAATCTGTATATGTAAAACCTCGTCAAACATTTTTCTTCACTCTCTCTTTATTTAATTATATGTGCACAACAAACATCCATATCTACACCTACTTATATCATACGTTAAAGTTGGGTTTCTTTCTTTCAAAAAGAAAAAAAATACATATATTTAGTCAATTGAATGCATTGGATAGAGACGAATTTCTTTGATTTGGCTAATTATTTTTAAATGTTTAATTAATTACTATCTTAATTTTTTTCTGTTTGTTGGGATAAAGAAATTAATCAAACAAGGTGGCATTCCTATTCTGCTTGAAAGACTAGGATTGAACAGCTCTTGTATTAAGGAGCATTAAGTTCATTAGAAGACATATGATAAAATTAAAACCATATAGAAGAGTATTAGTTGGCAATAACATATATGTATAGAAATTAAAGGAAGATTTTTATTGTTCAAAGTCACTTATTACAACAATCTTATTCGTCAACTTAACGCTTTGAAATAAATTCAAAATGCATATTCTTTGGAATAATAATTCATAGTGGTCAAAATAGTTTAACTATATCATTACATATGTTGTAGAAATAGAGGCCTTACCAATTAAATTATATGTATAGATGAGTCAAAATAAGGAAGTAAAAAAATGAGTTGTTGAAAACATAGTCTCAAAAAGTTCTCATCTTCTTATAGAAAATATAGGAAAATATATACTAGAACTAACTCCATTGGAATCTTCATGTAGGAAAACGTAAAAATGAAAAATAATGAACTCTGATAATTTGTCGCCGTAAGCAGGATTGAGATTTAATATAGTTGTATATATTTATCGAAATACAAATGGATTGGTAATTGTTAGTAAGAAAAAGTATACTTATGTTTAAAGAAAAAAAATTAAAAAAAAGATCAATTCATCATGTATACTAACATTAGAAAGATACTTGAACATACAAAGGAATGAAAAATAAAAAAGGAGCAAGAACACAAATTGAACTAGTAAAACCAAAAAAAACAAAGAAAGAAATCCTTCATCTTGGCATAGAAGATGATAAGGTATTACACAACAATTACCCAAAAAAATAACAAAATAAAACACCAATAAAGCACTTAAAATGCAATTACAGAAAATCCTGTCAAGTTACAACAACATCAAAGGGATAATATAAGACAGCAATCATACAAAAACTACGTAAACTCATCCAAACTCAGGAATATATTTGGATTTCAGAATGATCCATCATGGCCGCTAACCAGGTGTATTTGGATCCCCATATCCAGATGGTCCTTGTGCATTTGGACCATCGAAAGAAAAAACTGAATTAACAGCCCCAGATCCATATGGTCCCATATCGGCAGCAAATCCGGCTGCATTGTTAACTTATATCATGTTTTTTGAAAGAGTCCCGTAAAATTAATACCTAAATGCATAGTTGGATAATGAATGTTTGGAAGCGGTAGTGATGACTGCGATTCATAACCTAAAAAGGAAATGTTTGGAGGTGGTGGTGGTGGTTGGGATTCATAACATGAAAAGTTATCATAAGGAATACTTGGTCCCGGGATGCTGAAATTGGGAAATAAATTAGTATTTAGAGGCAACTCTTTTTGTGCTTGAATCTAAACTCTTTTGTTCAGCTCCTCTTTTACACAAAGAAGATGTTGATTTGGTCCAAAGGTTGAAATTATTGAATTTGAATATTGTGCAGGGTAAAAATACAACAATTGTCTATTGTGGTCTAGTCATGACTTGACACCTCATCTAACACCTGTAACCCTTCGAAAACATTTCCTACCAAAAGAGACTCAATATCATCAATTTGGGGCAATTTTTTTTAGTTAGAATTATATGCTAAATTAATGTGGTAATGCTAAGTTAAAACACTCTCATCACTCAACATAACAAATTGACAAATATATCTAATAGCAATATTCCTTTTTCCCTTTTGGCCAGAAAGAAAAGAAAAGGCATAATTATGTAATAACTTGGATCCCAACCCAATGCTATTTATATGTAACATACTACATCTATATTTATGTATGTTAATTATATTGTAAGAGTTTAAAAATTATGTGATGAACCCTTAAAATAATTAAAGCATTGGTAGATATATAAAAAGATTACTTTTATGGGACAAAAAAAGTAGTTCTTATTAGTAATGGCAAAGAGTATCTACTTATACTAAGAGTTTTTTTTCATAAGACAAGATTCACTACATAATGAAAGGTCTGTGTTACTCCCTTCATCGTTTCAACGGTTTTCGCCACTCCTAAATTCGCCTCGCGGCGGCGATTTTTTGATCTCCGAGAACTCTCCTAGCCCCTTTCATCTTTTTTGTTTGGATTTAAGCCATGGCCCAGTTTATCACCTACAACCAACTTCGAGCGGAGTTTATGGAGTACAATTTGATGTCGGAAAAGGCTATCAAAGGACATCAAGCTCTGTTACTGGGACTAGTTCTCCAACACTTGTATGATGATATCCTCCAGCCTGTTGCACTTTTCCAATTCACTGAACAGAACTACAACCAAACTAGTGCATTGTTTGTCATACCTCCAACACACCCTTACATTAGATTGGATGGGGTTACTGACCTGAAGTTTTTTCAGAACATCTTCCGCAACCTTCACCAGATTGCACCCGATGGCAAGATCTTTTTGTCGCCATCGCATTACCTGGATGTTGCACAAGTGCAACTCATACAAGTTGCATTTGTGCTTCAGTTTGGCTTTGATGCGGAGCCTGAGCTCCACAAGGACAGGCTTTACTGCATGGGCATTAATGATGATGCAGAGTTGTACATTCACGAGGTTATCATGCATGATGAGTGCCAAGCCCACGGCTTCAATTGGGTTCACAATCATGAGGCCTGAATGCTGACAACGTGTGCTAAAGAGAAGAATCTTATTTCAATAATTGATGGAAAATCTAGAGTCCCCTCTAGTCATGTTTTGCACATTTAGTTTGTGAAGTAGGAACTCCATATTTTTCTCATTTTTCTCCCCAGTTTGTTGATGATGAAGTCTTTAGATCTTGAAAGTAATGTTAGTATTTGAACGTCAGTAAGCAGACCCTAAGTGGTACTAGATTAATTGGGCAAAACTGTTCAATTAGAAAAGCTAAAAGATATAACAGAGTTGTCTGCGCACGCGTGTTACTCACGCACTCCCCACTTCTTTGTCTTTTGGTTTTTCTTCTTGGCCCCCTTTTACATTTTTCCTTTACTTTTTTTGGTCTTGTGTGCGGTCATCAATTTGTGTTCCAACTACAAATATTACTAGTGTAGCTTAATTTGCAGTCTATGATTGAATTCTTGGCTTTTGTTAGATTTCGAGAGTGTGAATGTCCACTGCCTTCCGTCATATAACCATTCTCAATGATATCTTTCAGGCATTCTTGCCATTGTTATATTTCATATAAGTGATTTTAAAAAAAGACATAACGAAAGGTTCAAAGAGGAAAACAAGAAATATAATGGCACCACTTAATTTGGAAGACCGAAAAATTTACACACTGGTAAAATAAGTAGATAAACAAAGTAACGAATAGAAAAACTAGCAAAATGACTATTTATCTATTGCCCTTTTGTCATTAGGGTGAGAACTTGATCATCAAACAAGAACAATGAAATTGTAGAACCATTGGTGAAATTCTAGCAATTGTACTTTGAAATGAATGGATTATGTTCTTTGATATATGAAGGAGTGTTTCAATAAATATTTCATCCCTTTTCTTCTCTCAAATGAATAACCAATAGTTTATTTAATTTGTTACAATGAAATAAGAGAGAATAAGATGGTACAAAAATCGAATTAATGATGTATAATAATGGTCGAGTTCAAGCTGTTACATTAAATTTTGAACAATCTCATGTCCATTAATATTGACGTCTCATAATTCTTTTAGAATTATTCGAACAAAACCCTTCTGCAACTATCATAATGCATGATAATATTGGATAAGTAATCAAAACATTAGAAAGGTTTTGTACGGATGGATATGTACAAAACCTTGTTGTAACTATGTCGTCTGAAGCTCAAGAGGCTAACAGGCACAAAAATCACCATGATTTCAAACTTTCTTAGATTTACAGCCTAAAATTAAAACTTGGTATAGAAAGAGGCTCAACTCGAGAAAGTTGTCTCGTTGTAGAGCCAAAAGCCTAGCAAGAAACTCCCTCAACAAATGGATTACCACAACTCTGAAATTATGACCCAACAAGTAGTTTATTTGCTACATATAATAACCTTTTTAAATTTGATATTTGATTACAAGTTATCGAGTATTCAGTTCTTATTTTTTTGTGTCATTATTAATGTTTCTATATAATGTGAATTTCTATATACTAGTGTAGATTTTTTTGAGAAATTTGAAATTGCATAGATCTAATAGATTGTGTGTATGGTTTCATATTTTTTATATAAGTAAATTATTGTTAAGACATTGATACTAAAATGTACCATGCATTGGTACATATTATCAATTAACCTACTTATTAATTCATCATTTTTTTTTTTAAAAAAAAAAAAAAGGATGATCCATCCCTTTGATTTTAAAACATTAATGTTACTATAGATCTCTTGAGAAGATAATAGTTATATATGCCGAAAATAAATTGTTTTTGAATCTTGTTGATATCAAACAAAACAATACCTATAGCTTTTTTTTCTTTTTTCTTTTATTTTTGTTATGACAATACCTATAGTTATAAATAAAGCCTCATCAAATCTTTCAAACATGTTTCTTTCTATTTTTAATATATGTTCAAAACAAACATCCATACGCTTAGCTACATATATCATACATTAAATTCGGCTTTCTTTTTTTACAAAAATATATATATACATATATTTAGTCAGTTGACAGCATTGGATACTTAAAACGAGTTTCTATGATGAATCCAATTGTTCTTAAATGTTTAATAAATTAATGTCTTAATTTTATCTGTTTTGTTGGAATAAAGAAATTAACCAAACAAGTTGACATTCATGTTTCACTTAAAAGACCAACATAGATTAGCTATTGTATCAAGGAGCATTACGTTCATTTGGAGACATACAATAAGATTAAAACCATAGGGAAGAGGATTAGTTGGTAATAACATATAGAAATTGAAGGAAAATTTATATTGTTCAAAGTCAACTTATAACATTAAGCTTATCAATCAAATTTTCACTTTGAATTAAATTCAAAAGGCATATTCTTGTAAATAATCGTTAGTTATCAAAACAATTTAATTAATATCATTATATATTCCATAGAGATAAAGGTTTTATGAGTTTTTATTTTTTTTAAGCAAGAGAAAGAAAGGATGAAAAAGTATTTAGGTCCCAATTAATACAGAAAATACTCAAGGGGTGTACCCAAGAGTTATTCCCTACATCAACCAGTGCTAGATGATACCACGCACCCAAGGGGTATACCCAAGGGATGGACATGAATATCACCTAGTTCCCTAGCACCTTCCCTCCCATTTGTTTATTGATAATATAATCAAAAGCTGCAATTGCATCACAAAAGTCGGATCTAAAGTATGGGAAGGATGATTGATCTAAAATCAATAACTCCTTTACATTTTTTGGTAAAGCATCTAAAGAAAAGTAAACATCTGAAGATCTTGAAGATACCTTTTTAGCTAACATATCCGCAACAGCATTAGCTTCCCGATATATGTGAGTGATAGTAAAAGCATTCCTTTGCAAAATAAAAGACATCTCCTGCAGCTCGATAAATACTTCCAAGGAAAATTGAGCCCCTATCCAAAGAATCCGCTAAGGATTTATTATCTGTCTGGATAACAACATTCAACAAGCCAAGCTTCTTACATTTGCAGAGCCCGAATAGGATACCATACACCTCTACCGTGAAACTATCGCCATCTCCAAGATAGCCATTTTCCCTATCCTTTGATTACAAATCCATAACCTGCCTCATTCAAACTTGAAGATCCATCAGTGTTAAGGATAAAAGAATTTGCTGGAGGAGGAATCCACTTTACTTCAACTACACTAGGTCGAATCATTCGGCTTAGATGAATATTGAAAGTAGCTGAGAAAAATGACTTTTCAGAGTCATTTTTTATTTTAAGATCATGAATCATCATCAAAGATCGTACCTGGTCCACAATGGTCCGGATTACCTTGGCCAAGTTAGGAACAACACCCTCATAAATCACCTTATTGCAGCACTTCCAAAGCTCCCAAATAATAAGGGATGGCAAAATTCCTTATAGCCTCGTAGGTAGTCTCAACCATTCCACCATCTATCAAGCATAGAGGCCAGCGAAGAAACTCCAAATATGTTAACTCAAACAATAGCTGAAAAATGGCGCCATATTTGCATTGTGAAATGGCAACCATAGAAGCAATCAAAAACAACATCTCCGACATTCCTACAAGAAAGACAAATAGCCGAGAATACATTAATGCCCATGCGCCCTAATACTTCTGGAAATGGCAATAATCTATTGCGCAATTTCCACAAAACAATTGAAACCCTTAAAGGAGTAAAAGAATTCCAAACATTTCACGTCCATCTTTCCGATTCCCTCCTAGGCCGAATGACCTCATAAGCCGACTTCACTGTTAGTTCTCCAGTAGAAGTATGCTGCCACACCAATAAGTCATCATTATTCTCGTTATCATCAAGAAAATCTTGCTCATGTGCCACAAGAAAGTCACAAATGTTGCTGCCAAGGAAACCTTGTAATTCAGGGAGTATTGACTGTTTATTGTGGAAAAAATCTCATATGCTCAAGCTTGGATAAGGCGGCTGATTATTTTCACTATCCCAAAGGATTCCAAAAGGAGTTCAATTGTCGAACCAAAATGATCTATCTCCTCGCCGGATGATAGTTTTTGTATGATGCACAACCCGAGCACCAAGCTTTGACACAAAATCCTAAGAAATTTCTTTCCTTGCTGCCGAGGATAAAGAAAAGATAAATTTACTCCAAACTCCTCTTCTATGCTTCAATTTCCACCATAGCTTAACCATTAACGCATCAATGAATCCCTGAAAATTCCGAACACCCAAACCATTTTCTTGAGACGGAAATGAAAGTGGTTCCCATGATCACCAATGTCTTCTCCTTTCTTCACTTGTACCAGCCCAAAACAACTTCTGACACCACCTTTCTATGTTTGTGATGGCTGATTTTGGGGGAGAAATTGCTGAGAAAACATGTACCAGGATGGAAGATAGCACATGCTTAGTAAGAATCAATCGGCCTCCTTGACTCAATAGCTTATTTTTCCAACTTAAAATCCGCTTATCAATGTTATCCAAAAGAAACTGAAATGTGGATGATTTCCTTCATCCTTGATAGAGCCTGCAGCCAAGATAAACAAAAGGAAAATATCCTTTTTGAAAAACCCATTCAAAACTTCCAATGATCTCTTCAAACCCCTGGAGAAGATAATAACATCATCGGCAAAAGCAAGATTCGAAACCGGCATCGAACCACAAGGAGTCCCATACTATGCAACCTTCCCACTAGCTACTAGAGATTTCAAACTCCTTGTCATAGCCTCAGAAACAATGATAAAGAGGTAAGGAGACAAGGGATCACCTTGTTTAATGCCCCTTGAAGATTGAAAGTAACCAACTGGCGCACCATTGATGATGATCGAAAACCAGCTTCTTCATAAATTACTCATGATCAATGATACAAAATGGCGCAGAAAACCAAACTTGGCCAAAACCTTCTCCAAAAAACTCCATTTTATGCGGTCAAAAGCCTTCATCATGTCAAGCTTCAAAACAAAGTTCCCTCCTTCGGCCTTCCGACCCAAAAATTGACAAAGGCATATTCTTGTAAATAATCGTAAGGCATATTCTTCTTATGTAAAATATGTACTAGATCTTACACCATTGGACTCTTAATGCAAGAAAACATAAAGTTGTAAAAGAATGAATTTTGATAATCCATTGTTATAAGATGGATTGAGACCTCAAAATAATTCCATATATTTATCAAAAGAGAAATGGATTGATATTGTCATAAAAAACTGTATACTTCTGTTTAAAGAAGAAAACAAGTATATTTTTAAAAAAAATCGATTCGTCAATTCTACTTATGATAGAAAAATACTTGAATAAACAAAGGAATGAAAAAATGAAAAAGGAGGAATAGCACAAACTGAATTGATAAAACAACAATAAAAAAAGAAACAAACAAATTCCTTCATCTAGGCATAAAAGATAATAAGGAATTACACAACAAGGCTCCCCAAAAAAATAATAAAAACAAAACAACAACAATAAAGTGCTTAAAATGCGCTTATAAGATAACCCTATCAAGTTACAGCAACATCGACAAGATACCATAAGACATCAATCATACAAAAACTACATAAACTCATCCAAACTCGGGAATGTATTCAAATTTCCGAAAGGTCCATCATGGCCACCAACCAGGTGCATTTGGATCATCAAAAGGAAAAGCTGCCCTAGATCCAGATGGTCCTTGCACATTTGGATCATCAAACGGAAAAGCTAAATTAGCATCCCCATATCCAGGTGGTCCCTGATTAGCAGCAAATGTGGCTCCATCAGCAAAATTAGAACCTGAATGCATAGTTGGGTAATGAATGTTTGGAGGTGGTAGTAGTGGTTGGGATTCATAACCTAAAAAGGCATTATTGGGATGACTTGGTACCGGGATGTTGAAATTGGGAAATAAATTAACATTTAGAGACAATCCTTTTTGTGCTTGAATTTGAACTCCCCTATGCAGCTCTTCATAGGCAAGCTTCAGGTGCTCAAGTTGTTCCACGCTAAGCTCTTCAATGGGAGCATGCCACCAATAACTATTATGATTGGCACTCGCCATCTGTGCGAGTTTGTTGCTTGTTTTCTTCATGGCATCCATGTGATCTTCTAGTGCACTGAGCTCTTCATTAAGTTTAACCATATTAGTGCTACTATTTGCCTGATGTGCCTCGTCGGTTGAGCCTTGTGGAGCGATGAAGTGTGGAGCCTTAGTCTCGTACTTTTCTAGGACTTGATCTACGCTCGGGGAACCGAAGGAGTAGACTTTGCTCCCCGGAGAAAAGACCACAACAGCAAGCTCTGACCCTGTTCGGGTGCAGAGCTCACTCGCTTTTTTGAACAAACCTTTACGACGCTTTGAGAACGTCACTTGCAGGTTGCTGTCGTTGGTCATTTTTACCATATTCACTTTTTGGCGACCCCTAGTCATTTTTACAGTCGCCATGATTTGCTAATAAAAATATATCCTAAGAAATTATAGAGGAGGGTTGGTGGTATGTTTGAGACATGAAAAAAGCAAAAGAATGGGGTTTTATAGATAGATGAAGTATGAGTTACATGAAATTTGTCAAACTCAAATTTTTTATTATGGAAATAACCAAGTGTGTAAAATTTTTTCAAAGAACCTTTTTCTTTAATTACTACATTAGAAGGTGCAGATCTTGTATTATATAAGGTAAATTACATTAGTTAGACAATTTTTTGATTTAGTTACCTTCTTTTATTGGTAGCCAGCCTGTATTAGTCAAAGGATAACATATAAGGAGCATGAAATTTTTTTGCAATGAAATAGTTTAGAAAATGATGAGAGAATTGACCATGACATGAAATACAACTTTTTTTTATAACTTAAGAAACTGTGGTGCCCTCTTCTTTTTTCTTTTTCCTTTTTTGGGTCTAGTCATTATTGCATTCATTTTATTTTATGAATGTAAATACTAGTTACTTTACATTTGTAATTTTTGCTTTCTTGGGTTCTAGTCTTTGTAACTCTTAATCCAATTTAATTGAACTAATTTGACTTAAAATAGATGTTGCCTAACACTCTTGCGTCATACGGCTCCGTCCCGGATTGTCAACAATATAAAACTTACATAATATACCTATTGGTGTTCATTATATCTAATTAATGAATTAAAGATGTCACATTTGAAAAAGATGAGGAATTTATCCTGCTTGAGATACGGAATTCCGAGTCTAGAGAGCAAATTCGTGACAAATGTATAGAACAAGGATACATGTTACTCATATTTACCGTAATGTTTCACAATTAATAAGTAATTTTTAAGCAACAAAGCAAATATAAGAAAGCAACTACATAAAACAATCAACACAACCCAATCAAGAAACTTGTACTTGATATGTCAATTAATCATGTTTTGATTTACATATATTTCTCCCTTAAAATTAAGAAACTTTGGTTTATGCGTATGAAAAAGCAAGAAAATTAGGTTTATATATTTGGCAGTGAAACTAACTACTTTTCATGTATTTGGTCTACAAAATGGTACATGAACCTCGGTGATTTTCTTCAATCGAAACACGATATGGAATCACTTCAACATACTTAAGCTCCGTTTTAGTATGTTGTCCGAACACGATATGGAATTTGAAATATTCTTTTAAAATTTTGAAGATTAGATTTAGACTTCTGATCACTTTATCCTATAAAATAGTATACTGGAGTTGGTGGGTTTATCTTGTCTTGTGTATGTATTCATCACAACTTAGTTGTTAGCTTTCCTTCCAATATTAATACTTGGTGAACATTATTGTTTTTTATTTCTGTTTACAATCTACAATAACCTCTTCATTATTCACAAACATAGAGATATAATCCTAAGCTACCTCAGAAAAAACCTATTAGCCCCCATCTAAAGCAAGTGTTCCTTACATAAGATGTCCTCCAACTACATTCTCATTATTTAAACTAGTATTATTCCCAATCATTGCGTGGCAAGTGAATGTAAAAAGTTTTATTTTTCAAAATGAGCCAATTTTAGATCAAGTTAAAAGTATCGACATAAATTAATAAAACTTGTATTCGTAAAATCCAGTTAAAAGTCAAACAAAAAATTCTTTATAAGAATAAAATAGAAAATTATGAAAAATGTGTTTAAAATTGGCCTAATACCAATGCCCAAAGCATGCTCTTAAATATATTGGATTGAGATAGTGCCGACATTTTTATGTTACTAACGGTTTTCTATTTTATTGGTAATTAAGTTCAAAATTTATGTTACCAACAGTAATTAATTTTGCCATTAATAGTTACAGAGTTCTTTTCGCAGTGTTTCATATCAGCATCTACAATGTTTCACATCGGCATCTTTTATCATGAGGCTAGTTTGAACAACCCCAATCCCTTCATTACGCCAACGATGAAAATTTTGTTTCATATCGGCATCTTTTATAGTGAGGCTAATTCGAACAATCCCAATCCCTTAATTCCATTAAAGATGAAAATTTTCTACTTTGTGTTAAATCCGAACTCCTTCTCAAATTTGATATGCTATATTATTTTGATATATAATACATCTCTAGTTAAGTATTCATGGAGAGAAATTTTCAATATTGGGAATGTGAGTAAATTTTTGTATTGAAAAACAACAAGGAAAGAGAATCATGGGTGACACGTTATTCTGAGTTTTTAATCTTTATATTTCTTAGAAAAGGCTGGTTTTCTTTTTGGGGTATTTGAAGTTGATAAGTTATTGTAACTTCTGCTAATTCACCTACCAAACTATATTACTACCCCCACACACACACACACATATATATATGCCAAATATGATTTCCTGGATTATCAAATCTCAATTTAATCAAAGATGAACTACTCTTTTGTAAATCTCTGGAAAACACTAGATGAACTCTTATGTCAAAAAAAAAAAAGATAAACTCTTATGTATAAACTCTAGATGAACTCCTATGTCTAAAAAATTGTGGCGCTACAGCTAGTTTTGGGTTTTTTTTCCCCGACAATATCTTTTGCTTATTAATTTCCCTCTTTAGCTCTTTGTATGAATAGCATAATATAGTACAAATAGGGGAGAAATTTCCAAAAAACAAACAAAAAAAAAAATGACAATTCTTAATCCTTAACCGTAGAAGCCCCTTCATCACTCTTTGAAATACGACCGACAATGAGATAAACAACAAAACTAGTGAGAAGATGAGAAATCCGAATGACCTGTGCTAAAACTGAAGAAATGCCATTGTGGAAATATTGGGTCAAGTAGTGGCGAGAGAGTTTATTAGAACTTTGAGCATAATTGAGCCCACTAAATTTGTTAAAATATTGACTACTACAATAATATTCATGGTGTCGTTAAGTCCTTTTTCTTTTCATTAGCCTGAAACAAAAGTAGGCGAAGAATTTCTTTGAGAAGGTGGAAACTAGTTCCCGCTTCAGAAAAGTGCATGGCCATTAATACATTTTTTTTGTACCAGTAAAAAGGATTATCTCATTGAGTAATGATCCTCTGTCAAAAAAATCCCCCATCATCCAATCTTCCTAACAAAAAAAAAAATGCGTAAATTATGAATGAATTTAAAAATCATAGGAGAAAAGTATGAATTCAGTGCAATTTTGTGGTAAGATGTCTTTTATTTTTTCAATTCATACATGGATCGAACAGGTCATATATATTAATTTTCATTCTAGAAAGATATTAAAAAAATAGGTACATAGAACAATATCTATCATAAAGGGCCAATCGATAACAAATGGGAAAGTAATTTGGTATCATGTCACACCGGATGGGAGGCAAATAAGGGAACCGCGAGCAAACTCGAAGCAAAGAAATAATTTTTTTTTTTATTTTTTTTTTTGCAAAGAAATAAGTAATATTACTCAATAGATAAATGATATATACAGTGAGATACTATGTTATAATAGTGAAATGTGTTTCTTTTCATTAATTGGTCAAAAAATCGACGGCACGATTTGAAGTAAATTGGGTAAATCACCTCCCAACAGTTTTTAAATTTTCGGGACGGTGGAGGGAGTAGTATGCAACATCGAATTTTTGTTTGCCAATAGTTTTTCTTAGTGGGAATGCAGCTTGAAGCATTATTGCTCTGAAATTCCCGAATTCAATATTCATTTATGTTTTTTTTTTTTAATTGTTGATCTTAGATGAGGTACTATATGACTAAGGAAATTTTCTTAGGTACATGATCAACGAAATTATTAAATTTCAATTTCACTATAAGAGATTGAAATGATTGCCTCAAAACATATCTCTTGGGTATACTCCTTAAGTTTTTTTGTGCAGTTGGAACCCAAATATTGTCCTAACCCTTCTAATTTTTTTTATTTAAAAAAAAAAAGATTGAAATATTTGGGACATGTATAGATAGCCATCTCATAAATCTGATTTTGCATGTAATCAAGCGAGACATAGTTTTGAGGTGTACCGTTGTAATAATGGTTATCACTTCTTCACTACAATGTAATCGCAACTAACTAGAAAGAAAATAGCTCACTTGAAAACATCACTTCAACATTCATAACTCATAAGAAGAAGTGGTTGTGGTTTTGAACTTGGTTAATAACGGGATTGACCTTCTAGTTATTCATTTTCAATTTTTCACTATAGTGCACCGTTTGTTAATAACGCATCAAGTGCATACCTTTTTCTACATAAAGTGTCTAGAGGATTTTGGCATGAACTATTTTCGAAGAAAAATGATAATTTAATCTACTTTATTTTTATTTTTTATTTTTTATTTTTTTTTTGGTTTACAGTAACTAAAGAATATACTTTAGTTTATACAATTAACATACTAAAGCTCAATGCAAAATGCAACTCGGAATCTAATGCATTTTTTGTAAGCGCGCCGCTTTGTGAGTTCACTGCTGCATATTGACCATACTGGTTTTAGATCCTTGACTTCCTTTACTCGTTAAGTGGGTTCCCATAAGTAGAACAAACTGTGACCATGCTCAATATTTTTGCCGATTAGATTCTCCCCGCATAGAACTTTCGTACTAAATTTAATTGCGATCAGGTTGATGATAAAACTTGTTATTTACTCTACTGCGATATGAATAAATGATATAGATTGTATTAAAATTAAAAACTCATACTCTCAAACAACAACAACATTTGCCACACATATCACTTGGGAACAATTGCATTCAAGCACTGGAAGATATCTGAGATATTTGGAATCGATCTCTAAGTACAGAGGAATCACTGGAAGGTTTCCATAAAGTGATTGAAAATTCAGATGCTTTCGGATTCTGGAATAAGTACTCCCTAGTCCCTCCGACTCGAAATGATGTTCAGTATAAATTTTCACTTTTAGTACAAATCTAATCCCTCCAACCCGAAATGATGTTTAGTTTGGACTGTCCTTTCTAATACAAATTATACTAAAAGTGAAAATTCTAACTAGATATTTATTTTGGGACAGGAGGAATATATCATGATTGATGATGGTAATTAGCCAAAATGGGAGTTCTCCTTCAAAGCCTCTTTTACAGCTCCTGGGGGTTGTCGTTCCTACTCATTATCTCGCAAAAGTGGGAAGTTTCGGAATTCTAACTCATCCGCCAAAAAAAAAAACACAACCACGTTCACTACTACTGTCTTCCTTGTTCTTTGCATGCATACTCTCAGTCCATGGTATTTGCCTCGAGATACTGATTTCAGATCTTTGAGTTGATTTAGTTGACAAATGGGTTCAACTTTCATTAGTAGAACTACATGTGCCCTAACTTGATTTTGAGAACTAGACTTGTCTAAAATCCTTAGACCTAAAGGAACTTCGAGGTGAATTTTGAAGATAAAACTTATTATTTACTCTTGCGAGATACTAATGTATGATACAGATTGTTTTGAACTAAAATTACAGCTCATAACATCATACTCATACATATAGGAAGACCAACGACATTTGCCTGCCAAATCGCTCCGAGTGACGCTTCTGGATAGGAAATAAGATATAGACAAGATATCTTGAGCCAGTTTCTACGCATAAGTTTGCAAATTAGTCCTGGAGAACCTCCTTTCATAGTTGCACATGTGCAAACAATGCATTTGATGAAAATGAAGCTTAATAACTGCAACAGTCATGCACTATGTTGCTCGCCAAACCTCCCGAAGGAGTTCATATCTTGCATTCCCTCCAATTTCGCATTTTTCTTTCTCATGGCTCTGGTCATTTTTAACTACCTTTGCCGGATTAGTTGGAGAAGGTGGTATTTTGTCGACAATTGCTGCCAAAGGACAATCTAATTCCACTAAATCCTCATCGCTTGTGTAACCCTTCCTCTGTATCGCAGAGGCACTCCTCGAGAGCTGCAATTTGCCGCCTGCTTCTGCAACTTTTTCAGCCACGTCTTCTGCTGATGGAGGTGTGTAGACAACTGGAGCAGCAGGATAGGGAAAGCTACCAGCAGAGTCGTTGGACAACCGCCTCTCGATGATGCACTGCACATCAAATGTATGGTAAAAAAGAACTTTAATTCCACAGGTACAACAATTTTTAGGTTCTTAGCATTTGGACTAAATTTAAAATTTTAGCCAAAATGGGTTTGATGGGAGTACCTCAGCATTTAAAGCCTCTAGTACCGCTCCTGGAACAGGGTCGGGGCAGAATTCATCTGGAGTGAAGTTGCAAAGAATTCGTTTAAGCAAAGGAAGACTTATTTGTGGGCAAACCTGCATACAAAGATAAAGAGTAAGTATAATAGGATAGAAGGAGACAAGTGGAATTCTTTACTTCTGATCTGATGTTTAATATATAAACACGAACCTCCATTCTCACTGTTCTGTCCATAATCATGTCTTTTGGGAGCATAAGAAGATCACTCAATGCATTCAGAAGATCGAAACACTTCGGTTCATCTCCAGTGCCCTTGCTAACATCCTGATTCCCCATTCCAAATAAATCATTCAGACATCTTGACCAGTTGCCGACCTGCAAGGAAGACCAATTTCATCGTTACATCCTTCGTAAATAGACAATAAAGCATTAACTCTGACCAAAAGCACTGAAAATTGATACTTGTAAGAACTTCAAACTAGAGATTTGAAGCGATAACTATCATAAGTTTACGAGGAAAAATTCTGCTCTTATTTGATTGTAATAACCCAACAGCATCGGAAACTTTACAAACAATCTAGTGAATGAGGTACTCACAGAATTTTTAAGTTGTGCACCAGAGCCAAAACTCAAGTCACCAGCAGGAATAGGCAAAACCCGGGAATCTACTATGGGATCAGACACTGGATCAGTTGGGATCTCATGTGCAGACTCCCTAAGAATAGCATTAAACATGGCAACATCCAGTCGAGCAAGACATTGCTCCATAACCTAAGAAGACATAGACAATAATAGTTATTAAATTGTCAAAGGCCAAACTACAAAGCATAGATCAATTAGAGGATTGAAACCAAAACTAACTGAAGCTGATTTTCTTTCCCCAAAATGAGAATAAAACAAATGAAGACAAGATAACAGCAAGGGTGAAGGAGCATGGTGCCGAGGAACTATTAACAACATATACCTTCCTAGCCAAGACAGGCAAGCAACCACATTCATGCCCCCCTGCTCGAACTGGACAAAGCCTCCTCAAAGCATCCTCAAAAGCATTTTTCCACAGATTTACAGAAAAACTACCTTGTTGCTGATCACCTAAAGTAGGACCCAACGTTCTACCAAGAACTTTAATATTTCTCTCATTGTCAGTAGGGGATTGCATATGGGGAGTCAGAGCCTGAAAAGAAATAAGTTTGATTTTGTCATGTGATGAAGAAATCAGCATTCATCGGATTCAAATACCAATCAAATACAATGAGTTTTCGTTGAAAATTCAACAAGAGATACTAATCCTCATCCACAATTGAGACAGGATGAATATTTCAAACTCAGTATGGAAGTTCTGAATAAAAGAGGGAATAAAAGGAAAGAAAAACTATTAAATCACTCCAATCATTATTGCAGAGGTTTTCAATTGTTACTTCAGCATAAATAGTTTCCGTGCGTTTAAAGCAAACGAAGGTAATGAATTACCTGCCACCATATTGACTCCACCATTCGAGAGAAAATCCATGATTCAACTTTCTCCAAGGCAGCAGTAAAGGTTCTTGTTTCTTCCCAATCATCAACAAATTGTATGAAACCCGGCTTTTTAGGTTGTTTGCTGCCAGAATTACTCTTTGAAACGTATGATGATGACTTTGTGTTGGAGTTTTTTCCTCCATTAGACTCAAAAATTCTCGTAAGTTGTCCAGATTGACATGAGCTTGCAAATGTTTGAGAGATAATTTCTCTCAAAACAACTGTGTTTGAGAGCCAAAATGATAGTCTAAGGCAAAGAGCAAGAGGAAAATTGATCAATTATTGTGAGAAACAAAATTCAATTTAAGAACATTATTAGAAAACCTCACTGCATACCTTGGGACATCGTGCCCACAAGACTTGGCAATTAAAATGAGACCTGAGACAGTGTTTCTAGCAACTGTAGCTCGCTTATCAAGGGACCAATGTTTACAAGCATGAATGTAGAGCCTACACAACCGCCTAGCAGGGGTATGCACCTTATGTGCAGAGCTACCATGCTCAGGTACCACCGAATAGAGTGCAACTTCCAAAGCCGCTACTTCCCTCAGCTCTTCTTCTAATTTGTCAATCCTTGATTCCAGTTCCTGAATCTTTTGATCAGCAACTGCATTGCCTTCTCTCTCATAATTTCCCTCAGAGACTACGTCATCATCACTTTCTACGTTATCAGCACCAATTGAAGTTTCATCCGGATCATCTTTTCCCTTTGCCTCCATAATCGGTTTATCAACAACTTCTGAATTATCTGACATAGGTTTTGGATGCACTTTCATATTCTTCAAACCATCAGACACGTCTCTTCCAGCCCCTTTAGAAGGATCTTCGTCAGGACTTGTGTTTTTCTTGGGAGTACTTTTTGATGCTTTTGTCCAATTCATATTGTTCTTCTGATCAGTTTTTATTCTTTCAGACTGAGAATTACCAGCAGATGAATCACTTTTTGGAGTCCTAATAACCCTGGCAGCTTTTTCTACCTTCTCATCATCAGCTGCTGCCAGATCTCCTTGAGATGAATGTGAATCAGTGTTTGTATCGGTATCGGTCTCTTCCCCCATCTCTTCTGCTGGTTCATTCTTAACATCATGTGAAAGATCACTTGATTTAGCATTGACCTCTTTCTCGGACAATGAAAGCTTCTCCATATCGGAAGATGCTTCCTCGGATTTCTGAACTTCATCCGAATAGTCAATAACCATGTTTTCATAAACTTCTGAGGACTCTGACCCCGTGTTGGAGTCACTTACAACTGTAACAGAATCACCTTTTTTAGCATGTGAAACTTTTACCTTAGTATCTTCTGCTTTTAAGGCTTTTCTGTTGCTCCTATTCTGGAGATTGTGATCTCGTTTCTCAGGTTTCCCAGAAAACTTTTTCGGATTGTTTTTCAAAACTTTCTTCCTCTCAACCTCTTTCATGCTTTGTGTTTCACCCTTTCAACATTTCAAATAGAAGCGGTGAAAACCTGTTAAGATGAACAACCTTTAGTCATCAACAGGTCACTTAAGGAATGCATGCAAGAATCTACACCCATGATGAAGTAAAAGCCAGATCTCATGGAACTACCTTATATAGCCATACAGTAACTACTGAAAACCAATTCAAGACCTTACAAGTGATCCCCATCATTTTGTTTTCTGAAGCTTATTAGCCTAAAGCAACCCTCCCAATGGCTTAGCCAACTTAGCAAGCAGTAGGAAACAGGCATATCAGTACAATTAGAAAGGCCCCAGGGGAAGTTTGGGGCAGGAAACAGTTCAATTTCACTACACATTATGGTGTAAAGAAATGCTCTGCAAAGATAAAATCCAATCTCCAAGATGCGAAAGACAAACCCTGAGAATTCATGATTATGTACAGAGTAAATTTTAAATTTTCTTTACTCAAAACTGCTAGAACAAAGGAGAGGCATCAGAAGTGAGTGACAACTTGCATAGTCAACCCTGTTACTGGAAAGCCTATGCTATTACTTGGCATTTTTATTCAAGAGTATAAAATAAATTTGGAGTCCAATTCATCGCACGAAGTTAGTTCCCAGCATGTGATCCATCAGTCAAGAAGGATTATCGTTCAGCATCACTTTATCTTACCTAAGCAGAAACACTTGTTTAAAGTAATCCATATAGTACTTTAGTATCATTTTAACCTAAAATCTATCACTTCCATAGCTTTCAACTAAACCAACACTACATTTTAGTCAATAAATCAAGCATAAAATTGAGGAAGACGAAATAATGGCAGGACTTGCAAATCTTAAAGCAGGAATGAACTACAGGGCAATATAAGAAGAAATGAAATAGTAGCAGTGGGCTAACCCACCTACCACACATTGGGACAGGGGATCTCATTACACAGTATGATTTAAAACAAAGAGAAATCCAGTTTTTGAAGAAAAATCATTACCATTTCTAGTATGTCACATTAGTTTTCCGTTTCTAAACTATCCACATCTATGTATGCCACATTCAGATGCACACATCAAAACTAGTACGTCGATGATCACATCCCGAGTTCGGTTGGCTAATTGAGAAAGATTTCTTGCTAATTAAACCTCTTCCTGCTTAAATTTCAGAAGTTAACTGCCTCTTTAGCAAACTTAGGAAGGACTTAATTAACCTATGCACTTAACCTATATTAATTAGCAGTGTGTAGCACATTATCAAACTAAATCCACTAAGACTCAAAAACAGAAGAATATTTTATCAAATTAACTTAAAAATTTTGTATGGTGTCTGAAGACCAGCCCATCTTAAGTTTAATGAAGATGCAAAAAAGTTGCAACACAAATCATGAGTACTGTACTGGTAATGATTAAAAATACAACTGGGGTACTAATTGTTTATTCGGGAAGACAGGTAAATACACAAAAGCAAGTCAATGATGATGACTTCACCATCTCCCATACCCACATGAACAAGAATCCTTTTAAGAAATCCAGATTTCAAAAGTGCCAGAACCACAGTTCGATTATTCAAATTGTTTATTTCTTTGCAAACAACAACAAACACGTACAAGGAACCCAAGTGGACCAGCCACAGCAATCAGGGACTCTGCGCCACTGCCGGAATCAGGGACTTCGCCGGGAATTAGAGTATGCTAATGAATCAAAAATTGAATTCATAAACCATACAAGTAAATTCATAGAGATATCCAAAATCCAAAATAAGTAAAAACCTGGAAGAAGAACAGATTGTGGAATCCGGGGAGAAAGGCGGATTTTGAGAAAATTCACAGTCCAAAAAGAAAAGAAACCAAAAACAGAGTTCAGCGGAGCTTTGACGGTTATGCGTGGAAAAAAGTGTGGAGCATAACTGCCCACGATCTCCGAGATTTCAATAGAAAATGGAGAAACTAACAGAGGAAAAAAGAAGAAAACGATGTATCGAAAACATAAAAGAAAATTGCTAAATTCAGAGCCAAAATTCTATGCTTAAAAGCAGGGAATCTTTCTAAATCAATGTGCGTTTCCTGCAAAACTCTCATCCCCAGAAGAAAAGAAGAAAACGACTAAACGACAAGAAAGAAGCCAAAAAGGCCAAAAAAAACGTCAACACATTCATGATTCCATTGCTTATCAAGCTCCACCACCATTAACCACCAATCTTGTGGGCAAAAAACCAAAAAAAAAAAAAACACACACACACACACACAGACCGCCGCGTACATTTCCAAAACACAAAAACCAAAAAAAGAAAAAAAAAAGTGAATTATGAATTATCCCAATTCGGAGTATACCATCCTTAATTCTAATGATATGCACAATTCAACCAAACAGACCAAAACAAATCAGTGAAAAATGCAAAATGTTAAACTGGAAGATCGTCTCACCTTAGCTTTTTTTTTGCCACTTGAATTTCGAGAAATGAAAAAATGAGGAAGAACGGAATGATTCTGACAAAGGGAAACTTCTAATGGAGAGAAATGCAGAGAAGAAATACTGTGTTTTTAGTGTTGAATTGTGTGGAGAGAGAAAAACTGAGTAGAGTTGAGGAAGAAGAGTTTGGCTGAAGTGAAGCAGTAGCAGCAGTAGAAAATACGTAAACAAAAGTTTGATGGGGGTTTTGCATTTATTTATTTTAATTAATGCGGCCGGAGATTTGACCGGTTTGGCTTTGTCGGTGCCTCAATCGTCCACCGGGATTTGCCGGTTCACGTTACGCGTTTCATGCAACTTTCCATATTATTATCCATTTCCATACATATATATATATACAATTCAGGTAAAGTTTGTAACCTTTCGGATTGCCTGCCTTATTATTTCTTTCTTTCCCAATGCATTTTCGGAAACAAATAGTAGTACATCAAGAACAATTTTTCCAAAAAAAAAAAACACACACACACACACACAAAAAAAGATTTTGTTATCTTTTGGATTGCTTTGTACCAGTTTTTCCATTCTACTCTGACGATTGTTTGTTATGTAATTGTTCCCACTTTTAAATATTTGATGCCAGAAGACGAGATGGGTTATTTTCTTCCAACAAAAAAAACAAATAAAAAGCAGTGGCGGAGTTAGGATTTATAGTATTGAGGTGCGAAAATGTATAAATTACATTTAGTAGGGCGAAAATATAAAAATTTACTAAATTTTTAAAGGGATCTTTAGGGAAAAAAAATTGGGCTAAGGGAAGGGGGGATTGTGCCTGTTGATTCCCCTAGCTCCGTCACTGATAAAAAGTACATACTACTAGACTTTAATTGGAGAAGCACATTGCTTCGAATACAAAGACTAATATTTTTTATTTATTATAAATGATTGTCTGGTTTGAATTTTTATTTTAAATATAATTTGTGCCAAAAATTTAAAAAAAATACTAATTGAGAAACAATTTTGAAATAAAGCAAATACTAATTTAAGCTAAATAATCACCTCTTCTACGTATAGCTTTGAGTACTAAACTAGTAGTACTAATTACTAAATATATATATATATATATATATATATATATAATGGCCAACACTATGTGACCTACAAATTGGACAGTCTTTCATCACAATTCACGTAATCACGTGTATTGAATGAGTACGGCGAAACTTTTATAGGTAATATATGCTGCTTTGATTCCAAAATTAAATCAAATTGATTTAACAGATGGAATAAGATGTTATTGAAAAGGAGCTTTTAGTTGAAAGAAAAAAAGATATGTTAATGTTATCAGTGAGTCGTGAATTTCGGTTCCGTGGTCACAAACCTCACCTGTATTGTATGTAGAAGTTTTTTAAAACTGGTAGTAAAGATGGACAGCTCCAATAGTCCAATTCAATACCGATGCAAAATGCAACAACTCCACTCGTTACTTTTATGGCCATCTTACTAGATCTTGGGCGATATGGCGACTGAGACTGCCATTATTGGTGAATAATAATAACTACTCTCTCCGTCCCAAAATTAGTACAAATTGAATTAAAAATGAAATCTCAAATTGGACAATAATTTTGAGACAGAAAGAGTATAACCAACTCACCGGCATTTATTTTACAAGTAATTAATTAATTGATTGAAGAGGTGTACAGATGAACAGTACAATAAGGTCGTACGATCTGGTACCCATTCTTTAATTTGTAATTTCGTTTTTCTTTTAATTTATCCTTTTCTCTCTTCCAAGTTTCAATCATTTCGTCAAATGTTTGACAAAGCTTGCTCTCAGTGAGGTTCACCGACAAACGTTGCCCACACTGTTCATCAACAGTTCCCATTTTCTGTTCTAAAAAAACGACCGACTTTAATTATTTTTCTGAAATGGTTAGATTACTCCATAAATAAAATGTAATTAATAGGTTGTCAAAATACAGTGTCACATGCAAAAACTTTATTGATATTTCTTCCCGTTGTGGGCTATTTTGTGCAAAAGAGAAAATGGTCGATCTAATGATATGAATAGAATTTTGATATAATTATAAACATTTACGCCACGGAAATTAACTATGAAGTCTTATATCAAGACACAAACACACAAGTGGAATGTCAATGACACAACATACAGTAAAATATCGATAAATTAATAAAATCGATAAATTAATAAATTTCTACGGTCCCAAGTCGGGATCAGTACAAAAAACAAAGTCAATCGATAAAATAATAAGATAATAATTTTCTTAAAAAGTCCTATTTAAATATAGGTCCCGTCAATATCATGAATTAATAATGACTTGAAAAAAAAATGAGCTAGTAAAATATGGATTTAATGATGTTTGTTTTTTCTTGATATTTATATATAAAGAAATGTAGATGTTATGAATTTTTTGCATGATGTATCCAGTCATTGGTGAAAGTTTAAGAATTTCTCAGAAAAAGGTCAAATCTCTATTAATAGAGACATGTTACATAGATTGGGTAAACGATAAAATTTAAGATAATGGTGGAGTCTAAATTCTAATGCATAAGAGAAATAAGAGAATAAAAGAATATATATCTTGTACGATTATGCTTAAAATTGATATTATTAATTTATCGATAAATTAATAACATCGATAAGTTAATAACTTTTTAAGATCCTAATAGTATTAATTTATAGATGTTTAACTGTATACTCTCTTAATTAAAAAAAATCGACTAACTCAAGCCTCTTGACTAATTCTTGCATGCATCTAATGAATTAAGCTAGACTTTCTGTGATTATATATTTATATATTTCCTCCGTCCTAAAATTATTGTCCAGTTTGTCAAAAAAAAATTGTCCCAAAATTATTATCCAATTTGACTTTTTATGAGTTACGTTACATATTTACCCTTTAGCTATGAAAAAACATACACTACTCTGTTAAAAGAAAGAACAAATTAACTAAAACTCTTCCTCTATTATTCCTATGCAGTAGAAACGAAAAACTCAAGATAGCAGCAACTGATTCTTCGACGGCTCCAACCGGTAGGGAGGATGAGGTAGTCGAGTGGTTGCTGGACATGAATCTGGAGAAGAAATTCCAAGAGAAGAAATTTCAAAAAAAATCAGAGTCGAAACTACAACGGTGGATTCAAACAATAAAATTGAATAATCATCTAGATCTGAAGAATTGGAATCAATTCATCAAAAAATTTAGTTCAATTGGCACAATTTGTGGCCTTATGGTTGAAGAATTCTGATGGATCAAAAAATCAAAAAACTTTCTATTGAAATAGATAAATTTAGAAGTCAAGGTGAAAAAGAAGTGAAGAAACCGCCATCACCGCCGCCACTCTTCAACTCTAGCCTCTAATGATCACGTCATCTTTCCGCCGTCCTCCAGCGAAGAATCCCCACCACACTGTAATTCTCTTTAAGGTTGAGCAAGTTTTTCGCGAAGAATCCAAGTTTGAGACAGGTGTTTTTGACATTTTTTTGGGTACAATTCTATAACAATCCGCCATGCCAGTATTCTTCTGGTGGTAATTCCGGCAACCTTGTGGCGGCGTGGAAGTAGTGGAATTCGATCCCAGCAGAGAATATTTACCTTTTGCCAGCGGCTCCTGATGCCGCTCTCAAAATTTGTTCGGTTAAACCAATTAATATGTATGTAGGGGTATACTTGGAAGTTTATGTCAAAATTTAGTTGAGTTTGACCAAAATTAAATTCTTGTATCTTAACAAAATAAGACAATAATTTTGAGACGGAGGAAATATAAACGAATCGCTAAATAACTAGCTAGCTGTTTCGTTCATATTAATTACCTTTTAACGGTGAGAACTAAGGAAACAATAAAAACTCACCTTGCTAACCATGTAACATCTTCTAAACTAACAATTGTCTGCTCTGATCTAATATTAGTTTAATTAAAATTTCGTATTCATTATTGGTAGCAGTCTAACAAAAAAATTTTCGTGATATGAAATACTCTCTCTGGTCCTTATATAAGTCATTTTGATTTCGTCCTAAGTTTTAATTAGTACGTATTTTTTAATCGACAAAAAAATCTTAAATATATATTTTTACATTCGGTGTGTTCCCTTGATTGTTATGGAATATTTTTAAGGTTTTTTTGTCAATTAAAAATACGTACTAGATTAAACTTATGATAAATCAAAATGTTTTATATTACGTACCGGAGGGAACACTGTCCTTTGATCACTTATGCTACTCCATCTTTTTCTTCTAAAATGGAATATCACTATCGAAATAGGATTGTACATTCAAGTACCAGCTCTCTCACACACCAATACAGGTTACGAGCACAATAGAAGTTCAAACCTTATTTGGATGGGAGAGTTGAGTCAGATGATGGTATGAGACTGTAGTAGGGTCGGGTAGAGACAATTACAAAAAAAGCTTCCAACCTTTTATTCTTGTCATTATCGTTAAATGTCGTATAACAATTATGTAACGTAGAGGGTCCATAATAATTTCTTGTCTAATAATGGTGGTGGTTCAGGTGAATGGAATCCAGTGATATTCCAGTACCACTCTCTGCATGGGGTTATATAGTTCATGCTCAAACAAAATTAACTTCAGATGATGTTTACGCCGCGGGCTCCATTTTTACCCCCACACACATACGTATATGACTAATTATGTTCGTCACGATTTTAATTTCTCCTTTTTTAAAAAAGGTTTTTATTTGAAGTTGTTAGAAAACGAATCTTGATAATATTTCCACAATGTGACAATAGATTAAATTTAGTTGATCTATTATGATAACCACAAAATAATTTATAAGTCTAGGTTATTCTCTCTTGATAGAAACTGGTGACTCCTTACCTTGAAAACTCAAGTGCAAAGTAAATAATAGAATAGGATGATGATTTGATACCTCTGATGCAATTTTCAAGTATTTACAAATGCGGCCTTGTAAAGAAAAGAGATTATGCAACCGGCATCTGATATTGACAAATACTCCTTCCGTCCTACAAAAATATTTCACATTGAACTTTTAAATTTATACTAAAAAGAATACAAAACTCAAACTGAACTATTTTTGTGAGACGGAGGGAATAGTATTCAATTTTGTTGTATTATTTTAGTTTGATTAAATCTTTTTTTTTTTTGTGACAGAAGAATTTTTTTTCCCAAGCTTTTTTGTCCTTAGTATGGCAAAAATATCGATCGTGTGAGAGTATGTAAATATTTTTTTCCTTTTTTTAACCAAACATTCCTGTTATTAATCTTCATGTATCAATTCAATCCCAGATTATTAATTAATCACCCCATGACACGATCCATCAAATTCAGCCGTATAATTATCAATCAAATCTTTTCCTAATCTTCTAATTCAGATTCGAGAGGGGGCAATGTCGTCAGGTCCAACCAATGAAATGTCACTCTGTCGGCTTCATTCATTCTTATTTTCCTTCATTACTACCGTTTTGACACAGAAGATGATGCTCAAGGCAAAGCTTATTTTATAAATGCGTCCCAATATCTATCACATGCACTACTATTTTTGGACATTATATTTCGTAAATGGATATTCAAGAATGATGCTTCAAGTTAATCCTTTTAAGGAGACTGGAGAAATCCACTGAAAATATACAGTGAAATAAATGTATTTTAAGTTGGCGGATGTATAACTAAATTGTTGTTTAATAATATATGTCATTTCCTCCTTCACTATCTCATTTTACTATACATGTTATATTATTTTTTAATATGGTTTATTGATCTTCTCTCATTTCATCTTTTTTCCACTTCAGTAATTGTTACTCCATTTTAGTGATGCCATTTTTATAAATAGCAGGGAGGGTTGAAGTCTGATTACAAAAGTGCTTCATAAGAGAGAGTCGGTGGTCAAAACGTAACTTATCTAACACCTCTAATATACAGTGAAAATATATAGTGAAATAAATGTATTTCAAGTTGGCAGATGTATAACAAAACTGTTGTTTGATAATATATGTCATTTCCTCCTTCACTATCTTATTTTACTATACATATTATATCATTTTTTAATATGGTTTATTTGGTCTTCTCTCATTCCATCTTTTTTCCACTTCAATAATCGTTACTCCATTTTAGTGATGCCATTTTTATAAATATCAGGGAGGTTTTAAGCTTGATTACAAAAGTGCTTCGTAAGGGGGAGTCAGGTGGTCAAAACATAATTTATCTAGCACTTCTAATGGAGGCGTTGCCAAAATATGTAATCCAAAAGGGCCGAGTAGCCCATTTTAGCTAGGTAGTCTGGTACCATGTTCCCTTCCCTTTTATGTGGGAGGTCCATTTTAGTGATTCCATTTTTATAAATACCAAGGAGGCTTGAAGCCCAATTACAAAAGTGCTTTATAAGGGAGAGCTAGGTGATCAAAACATAACTTATATAACACCTCTAATGGGGGCATTGCCAAAATATGTAACTCAGAAAGGATCGAGTAGCCCATTTTAGCTAGGTAGTCTGCTACCATGTTCCCTTCCCTTTTTATGTGGGAGGTCTGTAGAATCCATTGCATGTTAAGCGTTGGGAGGATTCTATGTAACTTTTTTTTTTTGACATATTTGCAAGGTGTCCACCTCAGCAACAGTGACTAATCACCCTCGCTAAATTTTAGGCACCTCAATGGATGACATAACTATCTAAAGTATTTAAGGTTGCTCCATCCTCATGGCGAGGTTTAAATCATCGACCTATGATTAAGAATGGAGGAGTCCCTTCCACTCCACAACCACTTTGGTTATGTAACCTTTTTTTTTTCCTTATATTTGCAAGGCGTCCACCCTTGTAATTTTTTAATTTTGGATTTTTTACTCAAGGATTTATTGCCAATTGTGTAATAGACATGCAGAACGCAGACAATCTCTACTGTGTATACTTTTCTATTGGAGTTCAAAACGGGCTCATTGGTAGTAAAATGGTGGTTGTCTTAAATGGCCCAACGTGTGACCCAATTCTAGAGTATGGAACTTGGGACTCATTTCTAACGCTGTAAATCCGTACTTCCTTGTTCCAAAATAATGAATTGTATTGGTTTAAGTCGAAATGAGTACTATTTTCTCACGTACTAAGAGCAGAAGCCCTAAGATAGACATCTAGTTTTGCCTTTTCTTGTGCGTGAAGACTGATTGAAACTTGCCCCTTCAATGAGAGGAGGAAATATTTAACGAGGTGCTTTTAGATAGTTTTCACTAGCCTTGGTTCAGTTACACCGACAACAACTGATATAACAAAAACAAATGCTAACACCTTAGGAAATGCAGTAAATCAACAAAACGAGACAAGAATTTAACGGGAGGATTGTATTGGTGAATCATGAATGGAGTATTATCTCTTTGTTCACCCCTATCAATGACAGAAGGATTTACAATACAGATGAATATAAATTGCTCTCAAGGTAGGCATAAAGAGGCCCAAATGGAGCTTGTGCCTATCCAATCGGTCTCTGGATTCCATTGAAAAAATAACTGGTTGCCAGTCAATAGTTCTGGGGATATTGGTCTTGAAACAGCCTTGGAACTCCCCACCCCACTGTTGTGTTCATAAGAAATCTAACTACAGGACAGAGGGAGCATAACATATCCCGGGCATCCAGATTCCAGACATTTTACAAGCTAACGCTCTATAACCATTCATCAAATTACCTGCATTGCTGAACAATGCACCCGGCAAACATTTGCACTCAGAAGGAGCACAGCAAAGACTGTTCCGAATTATAATTATCTGAAACTTTGGCCTGGTGCATCTGATTTTGAAAGTGAAATGCAGGCATTGCTCTAAAATTCATTCAGCAACACTTCATATCTACTTAGATTCATTGAATTATCTAAAGGAAACTGGAAATCTCTCCCAGAAACCAATGGACGGGCTAAATTCATCAGAATATAGCATAGAAGCAGTCCCTTTAGATATTCAAATATTTGGGGTTACCTCACTCTATCTTACATCCTTGTGAGTTTTTCAACACATCTCTAAACTATAAACTAATAAAGAAAGATAGTTGGATCTGGTTTATCTTCGATGTCTGAGAAACAGATCCCTCAAATTGGAACACCTTCAGGTGAAGTTATGTGATTACAAGGGCAACTAAACTACACAGCTCACACGATTCCACAAGGTTACTAAGTGTTTTTTGCACCGATAAATAAATCAAGAAAGAACTAACAACTGGCTTCTGCATACATAAGCCAATCGTTTTCTGTTTTCTCTCCAACAAGGCCAGTTCTAATACCTATGGGCATTAAGTTCTTGATCAAATAAACCCCTGCTAGGGGGCCAAGAGTGCCATGGAAATTTGCCCATCAGTTAAATTATACAATCTGGATATGGCTGAGCCACTAGTTACCTATTGGTATAATTGTTAGATTCCGAAAAATCAAAGAGGAAACCAACCAGTAGCAGGTGAGCAAATCAAACGCCTCTAGTGTAGCAAGTTAGCAGATGTACACGAACTACTTGAGAAAGGGCATTGAACAACTAAAAGCATTCTACCTTTTCCCGTTTTACCAAGCGACTATTCTTCCTCCTAGGTAACAGTTTAGTTACATTTTCTCACTGATCTAGGATGCATTCCTATCAAACACAGCTAAAGAACAATCAGCAGGAAACTTGAAAAGCAATTTGATGAACTGCGAATCCATCTAGCCCACTAAGTTATCAAAAAGTATCTATAGGCATGATTTTTTGTGGGTGAACAACCTCTTGCACATAATTCAATCCGCATCTATGTTAAGTGGTAAATTATTTTTCCCAGAAACAATGTGATACTCTCAATATAAGATGTTTCTCAGCTCCGGAACTCATTCAGACTGGGAATAATACACAAGTTCAGACCTTCATTGTATACACTAAAGTAGTGTTGTGCTGTTTTACTATCCCTTTAATGGTACAAACTAGATAAAAAGCCACCTATGTCAAACCCTAACAGAAGTCAGTGCCTAGATATCAAAAGCACAATTTACGGAACACGACCAAAAAAGCAGCTGGTTTAAGACAAGAACAAATTCCAGGGGTTCTCAACAAGGTAAGAACTTTAACAGAAGCAAGAGCAGCACGTCACCGAGAATTTTACATGACAATTGCTAAGATTCGAAGGATCAATCCAATACATAAGAGCTGAGCTGACTAAAAATAGATGAACAGCAAAATAATCCATAATCAAACAAATATCATATAACGAATTTAAATTGTATCCAGCTAATGATCAAAACAATCCAAAGAGGATTCTCCATCTTCAAAACATAAACTTGAATTATCCGTAAGCAAAAAGAACAAGGTTTTGAGGGAAAATTAACATATATTGATTGCAACATCATAAGGTTAACATCGTCAAAATTCCAGTAAATGAAAGAAAGCGCAAATGAAAATATAAACGTTCCATAACTCCGTTTGATCCCCATCTCAGAAGTCAAACAAAAAAAACCCTTATTTGCTTTCAACACTAGACCAACACAAACATATGAACATGGAAATTCATACCCACAACGATAATTTCATCATCATCGAAACTAATCAGACTCTTGGGAAGATGCGGCTTCAAGCTCGAGGCGTTCTAGGGCTTTCTGGTGAGCCCAAGTTTCAATCGTGAGATCGGGCTTAGCATTCAGCCCAACGCCGAGAATAACGATGGTAAGGAAGCTGGTGATGTAGCAGGGAAGCTCCCAGTCCTCCCATTTGCGGGATTGTCCCGGCGGTGGCGGAGTCCGGTTGAATAGGTATCCGTTGGGTCGCTCTTGGTGGCCGGGCGTAGACCATCTGCTGGGGCCGTGGGCGTCTCCTCCTCTGGTGCGGACGGCGGAGCTCAATCGGGACCGCAACATGCCGGCGGCAGTCGCCAAGGGTTTAGGGGACGGCATCTCGGAAAAGCTCTGTCGCTGTTTTTGGGTCTCTGAGCCTTTGAGGGACTGAACTGATGAGTAAATCGAATTTGTAGCCTATTTGGATCTACACTTCCTCTCGGAATGCAAACGGCGCCGTTGGTTTCTCTTCTTTTCTATTTTTTACTAATTTTTTTTTTATTTTTTATTCTTTTGAAGATTTTACCAATTCACTAATTAAACTCAACAGTTTTTCTCAAAGAAAAAATAGAAATATCCTCGACAGTTCGCTAAAAAAGGGAGGGTAGTGAGCAGTACCAATAATACCATATCTTAAATTATCATGTCATAATCATATACTAGATGCTTGGCCCGAGCAGATGCTCGGGTGCCCCTCTACTTTAAATTTGTGTTAATAAATAAATGAATTCTTGATTTGGAAAAAATAAAATAGTTACACATTTGGTTTTTTTATTTGTTTTAGCTAAAAATAAAAATAAAAATAAAAAAATTATCTGCCAAAGGAGAAAAAATATTGAAAAGTACAACGATGCAGAAATCATACAAAAGAATGTGGAGTAATAAAGGGGATAAGTTTATGGGTAAATTTAAATACTATTTAAATTTGATTGATAAATGATAAATGTTAGGAGTTAAAATTGTGTAGCTATTTTTGCAAAGAGCTTTTGTTTTTCCAGATAAGAAAAAAAAAATTTCTTTTAAAAAGGGATGACACATAACAGAATGGTTAATGCAATATGGTGCATTTGGAGCCAAAAATTTTTAATAAGAAGTTGTCACATGAACATCCTGTATTCTGCTTTAATACGGTAAAAAAGGATTTGATAATGTGACCTTATCACGAGAAAGATAATTAGAGAAAATCGAGAAATTATTCAGTGCAGTTGATGTACCACGTAGGATTATGCAGCCAGACACAATAATCGGGTAAAGTAGTAATTTTGGGAGGAGAGAGATAATTTCTACGGAGTTCTACAATCGGGTAAAGTACTTGATACACTAAAAAACAAGATACAACAGTTGTACCAAATAATTTTTTGAGAAAATCAAGTTCCTATCGCCTCTATATCTTTACTTTAAAAAAGGGTAGAATCTCGTATTTCTTGAAAAAGTGTTCTATTTATAAGATTTGGTATGAGATCGATGATATCCATGAGATTGATAAATCAATACATGAACAACACTTTTTTTTTTGTTGTTGTTGTATATAAGTAGCAAAGGCAAACTTTATAAACCAAAAAAAAAATTTTACTACCAAGTATCGATTCTACAACAATTTCAAATGTTATGTTACAGTACTTTGATTCAATGGTAATAGTCTATCAAAGAAAAAAGCCGGAAATATGAGTCTTTTGTCAAACATTAATCCGTAAACTTTCCGAAACTTGGTATACAATTTGCAATGAAGATTTTTTTTTTGGGATGAAAGTTAGAAAGTGTTTGGTTCAAGGGTATCAATATTAGGAATGAAAGTTTTAGATTTGAAACCCATGTTCAGCTGCTTGGTTCAATTCTACCAAACCTACTAAATTGGGTTTCAAAGTCATAACCTCATTCCCTATTATGTTGGTGGGTATGACTTATCCATTCTTTTTCTCCCTCATTGCCCTCAGTTTCTCCTTTCTCTTTCGTCCTTCTCCATCGTTTTGAGTTTACATCGTCTTTTTCTTTTTCTTTTTTTCCTGCACTCTACACATTCATCAATAACCGTCATCTTTTTGGGTTCAGTCTCTCTCTCATCTCTGCAACTTTATCGTCGCCTCACTGCTGCTGGTCCATTTCAATTTGTACAGCTCCCGCCGCCGATTTTGATTTGCTTTTATGTGAATTGTTATTTTGTTATCTTGTTTAATTGAAGGAAAAAAGGAGTAAAAAACGATTTATAATTTGTTTGTGTTGTGGTAAAAAGAATCAAGGAGAGTAATCTCTTGTTCTTGTTCTTGTTTATAATTTTTTACCGCTGCCAATTTAACAAGAACAAGAGACTACTCTCCATTATTCTTTTTACCACAGCACAAACAAATTGAAATTGGTGGTGAGTGGCTAGAAGAAAATGAAAATGATAGGGTTCAAGAGGCAGGGACAGATTTGAAAATTTAGATCCATTCCAACTCCATCAAAATTTTGAACCAAGCAGTTGAATTAGAGATTAGATACCCTTTTTTTCTATGAATCCCAGTTCCATTAAATACGAATCCCTTTTCCTATGGTTGAACTAGACACCTTGTTAGTTTTTTCATTCCAGTTGAATATGAAGTAGGTACAAACACTATTACTTCTCAAAAAGTCTCAAAATTACATATATACAATTGCTGCAACTATTAAGCTACTTAATTAGTAACTAAAAAATCGCCATACAAAATTAGCTTCGTTTTCATTTGAACTGTGGAGAGATTTTCATCTTGTTGCACCACATTCTGTTTTGCCTAGTATTTTCCTATTTAGAAATTTTGGAGAGATTCAACTTCAAAGAAAATAAGATGTTCCGCACTACTTCTGCTTCATTCACTTTATCTTGGCGGAAAATGGAATGAAGATTTTCAAAGTAGTATAATATGAAAATTTATTACCTGATTAAAAAGGTAAAATATCAAAGTAGAACGAATAAGCATGTACAAAGAGTTTAATCTAATTGAAAAATAGTCGAAATGGAGCTGCCAAAACACAGGAAGCTGTCAACCAAAAATTCCAATATTACCAAACTTTCAGTTGTCATGCTATGAATATGAAACATTCTCTCAGCTCGGATAGTCTATCAACATTCTCACTCTCAGACTTCTGCATAAGAGGATACAGTTGCCATTCATGGTAGCTTTTGCAAAGTTTGTAAGTTGGATGATCACAGTCTGCAAGTGCAACCTACTGGGGCATTATGCAGGCTTCAGTCCTGCAGAAAAATAAATGTAAGTTTTAAAATCTCTAATGTGTAAGAAAAGAAGCGGTAACGACATCATACAATCAGTGACAAATGAAGCTAGAGGTATGCGCCTTCTCAGAATGAACAAGTAATCATGATATTGTCCAGTTGAGAAGACTTGTGAAGCATATACATCTATACACTCTAAAAGACTTTATCAGAGCTCAAGGTAGAAATATGCACCAGTTGTTTGTTTGGTCTATGCAGAGAATCTCTAATTGCAATTGACAGAGAACGGTGAACTAAGTTATTCGGATAACCCTATTCGCAAGGATGGATTAACCTGCTCTTGGATAATCAATTCTCATAATCTTGAAGAGGCCCTCTGAGAATCAACCTGTTAGCAGAAACATCAATAGACTGTGACTTTGCTGGTGTTTCTTCTGCTTGAAATAAAATCATCAAAAGCGAATAAAGCTAATTCCACACGCAGCTTTACCTCAACTTCTTTGCCCTGAGCAGTCTCACACAATGGTGAGCAAGAAGGCAGAAGAGCACATCCTTCCTTCTGTGAATGCTTTTAAATTAGCCCAAACAAAGATTGTTCTCTATTTCAGCTCGAAATAGGTCTCCTCGTCCGTAACTTTCCAGGTTACCTGTCAATTGTTGCCATCCCCAGGACACTCTAATGATGGATGCGAAGTAGGATAGCACATTTTCCCAATTATCCATATACACGTACACATTTGTGCTTAAATGTGTTTGCAAACGAGTCCAAATATAAAGAAAATAGCAACAGCAGAGAATAAAGGACCCTTTCTGGATAAAGATCATACAGAATTCACCAGTAATCTCCACATGAACATTCTCCATCAACAATGTGATGGAATCGAACATTATCCCTAAGCGTAACCTCCCTTGAATACACTTGGGATACGAACTTTGCAAAATTGTGGCAATCAACACAAATTCTTAAGTTTTTGATAACACGAATGGGCTTGCCTTGAGAAGCAATCAGACCAAAGGCCAGAGCTAGTTTTTCACTGTGGCCAAGCAGTAATTTCTCTTTCTGCTCGTCATCCACATCATGCAAGACACAACTCACCGCAGGAACATAACCAACTCCCTTGATCCTTACTGACATATCTCTAACCTTTTGAAGAATTTCTTCCTTCCTTGGATGTGCTTGATCACTGGCCAGAAAGGTATGAAGGGTTTGATCAACCTCGATCCAGCTCTTTCCTGGCACCTTTACCACCGACTTTCTCTTCATCATCTCTCTGATACTTCTGACCTCTTCCCATCTTCCAGCAGAGGCATACAAATTAGCAAGAACAACATAATTCCCTGCATTTTCAGGCTCAATTCCCAAAAGCCGATTGCCTGCAATTTTGCCGATGCTAGCATTTTGATGAAACCTACAAGCACCTAATAGTGATCCCCATATTGCAGCATTTGGTTCAAGGGGCATCTGCTTGATAAACTGCAGTGCTCTATCCAATTGACCAGAACGCCCCAGCAAATCAACAACACAGGCATAGTGCTCAATTGTGAGCTCAAATCCATCATCTTCACTAAATATTTCATCAAAAATTTCCAATCCTTTAAGCTCCATTCCTCCATGGCTGCAGCCTGACAGTACAGCCAAAACAGTAACATTGTTCGGTCTAACTCCACTTACTTCTTTCAGCAGATCATAAAGTTCAACTACCTCTTTTCCCATCCCATGCCTGCTATACCCCACAAGCATGGCATTCCAGGATACAATAGTTTTCTCAGGTATGCTATTAAAGATCCTCCTCGAGTAATCAAGATGCCCACATTTTGAGTACATATCAATCAGAGAATTCTGAAGCACTACAAAGAAGGGAAGTTCTAAACGCAGAACATGGCCATGAACTTGTCTTCCTAGTTCAATTGCAGCAAGGCCAGATAATGCAGTTAAAATGCTCACATAAGTTACATAGTTAAAATTCATCCCTTCAATCTGCAATTTGCGGAAAATCACTAATGCCTCTTCATTAAGCCCTTGTTGAGCAAAACCTGATATAATTGAAGTACATGAGACTACATCTCTTTCAGGGAGGCCTTCAAAAATAATTAGAGCTTCCTGAGTTCTGCCGGCTTTCGCATACATATCAAGAAGAGAGCTTCCAACAAATAGATGGGATCCAAAGGGGTACTTAACTAAAAGAGAGTGAATTTGCATCCCATGGAATAAGCCATATTTACCAATGCACGACCTTAATATTGTTGTAAATGTGAATTCATTTGGCTCAGCACCTGCATATAGGTCAACTCAGTCGTCAGTTTATGGTTTCCAATACAGAGATCCAAAAATCTTGACATTCAACATACAGAGAAGTATTTAAAATGGCAGACTTAGGCGACATACGCAAGTGGAACACTGCAATTCATACGGTTGCTTTTCTAATAAACTAAACCATCATATATTCACCATATAGATTCTCGTTCTATATTCTTAGTAACCATCAGCATAACCAAAATGATAAAACCCTCTAAAGAAACTCAAACACAGCATAATTGCACCCTCAGAAAACATGTTTGGAATTAACCAAAAACGAATTTTAATGCACAAATTCTCCTCAGAGAAAACAAAGAAGATGCAGCGGTAATGATTTTTCTGCAGCATTTACCTTCTCTTAGCATCTCTACAAAAAGATCAAGAGCTTTCAAACAGTGACCATTTTGAGCGTATCCCGAGACCATAGCAGTCCACGAAACCACATTCCTCTCGGGCATTTCGTCAAACACATACCTTGCATCCATCAAACAGTCGCACTTAACATAAAGCACGATCAATCTCGTCCTAAGGTACACAGGTGGTTCATAATGAGTTTTAATCATGTGGGAATGGACCCTTTGGCCTTCTCTGTAAGCTCTTTGTTTCACGCATTGGTTTAACAGTGTGTCGTAGTCTTTGAACTTCATCTCTAGGCCTTGTTTGGCCATCTCCAATAAGGCTTCGTTCAGGGGACCGTTGAGGCATAAAGTAGTTAGGTACGTCCAATTTGGCGCTAAAGAAGACAAAGCAAGTCTTCGGATTCGAAGAGCACCGAAGAAGGGTTTTCTGCTTATCACTGAGGAAAGATTAAATTTGTAATAAGGCATCATAGTTCGGAGCTGTAGGAATTTGGAAGATTGAAGTTTGAACAAATAAAAATCTTTGCTTTTATATGATTTCTGTCAAAAACAGAATATATTGAGTTGACTGCTCATCCAGAGTACAAATCCGAATGGAAATTCAGGAAAGATATGTTATTTACAGTGGAAGGCCTGAACTCAAGTGGATTGTCCCAACCTCCTGAAGTTTCCTCGGACCATCTCATATTAACGTTTTCAACATTTAACCCATCTATATGTTCCATTACAAACCCGGCCGTGCTGTGATTCACGAGCCCTTGACATCCCGGACGATAATCCAGTAATCCTCCGGCGTAATTAGTCCACCTTCTGTATGTGAGATTTACGTTGACGAATTTCAAGTTTCTCAAGATTCCGTGTTCTGAGCCTGACAAAAAGATGCCATTTTCCGAAGATGCTGTGATGTTGATGAACTGAACGTTAGAGATTGAACCCTGTTTCGAGTTTCGGTGTCTTGGACAGGTTGTTACATATATGGGCTCAGCTCTCCCCCACCATGATGGATCATAGTACCTTGTGGTTATATTAATGTTTGAGAATGTAATGTCACTTGCATTTCCTGCAGAAACACGAATCAACTTCGTGAGATTATGATCTAATTGTCCTACAATTTTCTTAAAACGTTTCACTGAGTAATACAACATTCAGTGAAATGGCTCGGAGAATCATGTCTCACGAGTAAATAATACTCCTCCGTCCCAAAATTATTTTCTAGTTTGGATTCACTTTTAGAAATAATTTTGGGACGGAGGCAGTACATGATTTTCCAGCCATTTCGCACTCTGAACTCATTGAGAAGAACGTTACTTGCATTCACTATCTTACCTCCATCTCGAATCTGGAAGGCGAGCCCTCTATGCGATTCATAGACAGTGATGTTGTCGAACAAGAAATTCTTGAAAAGATACCAACTGGCGCTGCCAAGCTTGATGGCGGAAGATTTGGTTCGAATCCAGGAATTTGTTACCGTGAGATTATACATAGGTCCGGTGTAGGTCTTGGGACAGATAGCATCATCGCCGGTGTCAATGTGGCATCCGGTGATGACTGTGTTGTTGGAATCTTCAATGTCAATTCCATCATTGTTTGGGGAAGTGAAATTCCCGCGTATTGAAACATCTTCCACTGATATGTTCTCCGATCGTACCAAATGCAAACTGCAAAGCATCAAAGGATATGAAATATGAGCCTCGGATTCATGTGTTACAGCTGATTCTGTTTCAAACTTTAACCAAAGTAGGAGTACAATAATTCAAAAATTCTTTTTTTTTTTTTTGGCTTTTTGTAAACAGAGGCCATCTTGCATAATCAAACTTAACGGGTAGATATTACATATTGTTGACCATCTTAATAAGTTGGATGGATCAGTCGGAATGGATAAGATAAGACACCAGCTCACGAGGATTTCCAAAGTGGAGTGGACCCAGCTTACAGTTGAACAAGTAGATAACATCCAGTCAGTACTCAGTAGTGGCAGAAAAGAATACTCTTACTCCCTCCGTCCCATAATTCTTGTCGAGTTTTACTAAAATGAAATATTTTATTTTTGGTCAAACTTAATAATATTTTACCTTAAACAATCGGATATATCCCTACATAAGTAATTATTTAACCACTACGATTTTATGGATAATGTTTTTTACTAAGGACAAATATGTAACTTGATCCATAAAAAATCAAATTGGACAATAATTTTGGAACAAAATTTTTTGGGCAAAATGGACAATAATTATGGGACGGAGGGAGTATCTATCTACAGTCGGAAAAATTGACAGATTTATCCAAAACTTTACGTGCGTCTCAATTCTACCCTATTCTTTTTCGGTTAGCCAATATTACCTTAAACTATCCAACCGTTAGCCGATTTTGTCCAATTTGCTATTTTCCGTCTAAATTAACGAAATTCTATTTGTTTTAATAACAAAAATACCCTAATAGTTTTAAACATTTATAAAAATAACTCAAAAAATTTACAAAAATTATAAAATAGTCTCTTTTCAGTTTTTATTTAAACTTTTCTTTTTTTATTTCTTTTTACTATTTTTCATAACCATAAAATGTACTATATTTTATATGGTATATGGAAGGTTGGCAGCTAGTTTTTTCAGCCTAATTAATAAATTTTACTCTTCTTGTCTCGAAATGATATAGTTTATTGGACAATTATTAATATAATTATTCGAGACAAAATAGAAAGACCACAAACTTCAAAAAAGTGACTTCTCTGACTCTCGAGCCATTCATTGTCAATTTGTTAATTCAAAGAACATTAACCTAATTTGTCCTTGCTAACAACCTTCTAGATGTTCATCTAGAATGTTAGCAAGAACCCTACATAAACACGAAAAAGAAATCTACACAATGGCGGAGGCAGAGCAGTAGGGGCGGTCGCTTCCTAATTTTTTCAATAAAAGAAAGGGTTTAAATTTTTAAAAATTAAAATTTCTCCCCTACTAAATGAAAAAAAAAAATGATTTCACCCTCCTATTTAGGATTTCTAGCTCTGCCAACATAGCACTTCAATTCTATCCAAGGAAGGTCAACATAGGAGTATAAAAAAGGAAATAACATACTTATTCGAATTTAATTACCCCTCACTAGATAAATTCAATTAATTTGATCAGTATTTAGTTGGTGTAATGCTTTTAACTATATCCATAATACCAAAAGAACTCAAAGAAAAGAAAAACAAAAACAAAAAAAAAAAGATGAAAAGAAAAACAGAGGGATTGAGGCGTGCACGTACCACCAATAAGCCGGCTCGATAAGGTTGACGTCCCAGATTCTGACGTTTCTGCAATCAACGAATCCGACCAGCCTCGGCCGGCACTCGTCTCCTGAACACGCGCCGGTCTCGTTCCAGCTCACCATCACATTCTTCCTCTCATCGAACCTCTTCACGAACTCCCACCCCTGCCCGTTAATCTCGCCGCCGCCGGTGATTCCCACGTCCGTCTCCCCCTCCGCCAACACCACGTACCATTTCTCCTGCTTTTCCGGGTAATCCCCGATGTTGGGCCCACCGAGAATCGTCGCGTTTTTGTGGATGTCGAGGATCACGCCGGATTTTAAGTACAGGGTGGCTGTTAGGTATTTGCCCGGCGGGAATTTGACGTGGCAGGGGCGGATTCCGGTGGCGGAGCAGGCGTCGATGGCGGATTGGATTTGGGTGGTGTCGTAGTGGATTCCGTCGCCGGCGGCGCCGAAGTCCGTGACGGAAACCGAGTGTGTCCGTTGTTGGACGATGGAAAACAATGATGGGCCGGCGGAGTAGCATCGGAGAATGGTGGTTAGAGTGAGGAGAAATATCGGATTGATCACCGGGATTCTCATTCTTTTTTGGTTTGTGGAAAAAATTCAATATTGCTCTTCAAAATCAAAAGTATGAATAATTCAGAGTTTCGTCAACTCTCAATACATAGTAATATACAATTACCCTCTACATTCAATCATTACTAAGTGCCATATGTAACAGAAAGGACCAACAAAAAATCATTCTGTTGAAGAGGAAAGCCATAGTTTAAGGCTTTATTTCTAAGCAACCAAAAATATCTCAATCTTTAATTGGAAAAGTAATCATAAAAATGTTTTGAATGAAGTTTGAAAATGTGTGATTGTCCCTGATTGAAAAAGTGAATGACGAGGAGTATTTCCAGGATCGAAACTGCATTTTATGTTGAATACAGTAACTATTGGATAGCAAAATTCAATACTGAACTACTAGAGGAACAAAAGGTAGGGTAAAAACTAGCACTGGAAATGTAGCAAACCGCCAAAATGACAAATAGTCTTCTTCTGCCAAATATAGTAAGTAGAAATGCTTCATATATCCGTTTTACAACATACATCAATCAATCAATCATCTCAGAACAGTGAAGAACTGGATTGAATGACTATGTTCGTAAGTTAGTGATTAAATGACATATACATATACGATTATATGGCGCAAAATAAATGGACTACTATCATCTAGCCAAGATAATAATAATAAAGAACTCCGGATTCTGCGGTGCCGTTAGCTGCAGACAAGGGTTTATACTTTAAAACCCCAATGAATGGCCGAGCATACTGTCTACCTTCCGCTATCTACTAATACTATATGTGATATATACAGAGCTAGCTAGAAGAATTGCTTCCTGACAGCCTTCACATCTCCATCTTCACTTGATTCGAGTGCAAAGGCGCTGCACAAACAAAATTAAATGAAGTTAGTTTCCGATGATTGGGTTTACGGTGCTGCCTACTTCGACTGAAAACTCAAGTTTTTGTTCTCAATTTTCATTATATCTCTGTCCATCTGCTATATCACTATCCTATTCTGTATTTTCTTAATATGTAGTGGGGATTAAATGCGTTAGTGACCCATTCACCGTCACAGCGAGAAAGAAAAATTGATTACTACTTAGATAAGATGGATAATTTGAAATGTCAATGGGTACTAATAAAATCAACTGTACCTGAATTAGCTGAAGAATCATAACTCAATAATGAGTTTTCAGGAGTAATGAAATTAGAATTGTCTTCTTCCCTAATCCAGACTGGTTGTTGGAGTTCATCGGTTTGCCAAGGCTGTTGATATTGCTCCCTGTTCATGTGTACTTGTCCTTCAGGCCACATGGAAGGCATCACCATTCCTGGGAAACTCATATCAACATGGGACCGGCTCTGCAATGTTTCAAGAAAGACGGACATGAGCAGAGAGCTAGCACACTTCAAGAAGAAAACTTTTAAGGAAGTTAACTTGTAAGCTTGCTCAAGAGCACCAAAACTCCAACCAATTAAGTCGAAGAGGAAATCAGACAAGAGGCTCCCGAAAATGATTTGCCACTTGGTATATCCCATTGCTGTGAATTATGTCAACTCAATATGTACAGCCAGATTTATCATCTTCAGCCCAGACTGCTTTACGCTTATGGTTTATTAAAGTGAGTCAAATGTCGCAAATGAGATGCAATTAATCAAATCTAACCATCTTCTTAAGGATGAATACCATTAAGAAAACATGTGATCTTTCCTTTTTCTTTACACTTAGTCCTAGGAAAGCAATCCCTTACAGAAAGAGCAAGAGATAACATCCTTATGCTTGTCCATTCTCATAACTAAAAGATTTTAATGACAGATTGCATAATTTCGTCCACATATGAGAATCTTCATCCGCAAATAGGACATTAAAACTACCCTTTCGAAAAGAGTTCATTCATCCCTCACATGGAAATGTAGCAGCGGAAATAATAATCCATGTTAAAAAACAATGAGTACAAAAGAAAGGTGTACCTCCGTTGCAAGAAGAGTGTCAAAATCGAAATCAACTCTTGGATTGACTGTGGCGAGTCTCATTGAAAGGAACTGAACAAGAAAACATCAAATTAATCAACCAGGACAATAAGAGGACAGGACCAAACTCAAGTCTCGTGGATTCCATAGACAACTAACAAACAATCTGGATCCAAATAGAAAAGACACGATGATATACTCGTAATTGAAAATTGAAAATGACACAAAATAACCCACTAACAAAAAACACACACAAACAGATACAAAGTTCCACTTCTTCGTGATAAGCATTTTATTGCTTAAACAATATAGTTAAAGATGTTTTTTTTTAAATAGATCACAAAATAAATATGTTCCTTTTTCCCCCCTCTCTTAGAGGTCCTAAAATAATATTCAAATAAAAAAAAGGTAATTTACTCCGGTCATTATATAGAAATATAGAAAAATATCTATTGACAAAAGTCATAGAGGAAAATGATTACACGTTTTACATTAAGCTCTAAGAAAAAGAGAGAGGACTTAAGTCGGACCTCAACTTGGCGTTGCAGGGACTGAACATGGTTGATGATCTCATCCAGAACCATTGCAGTTCCTGAAATCTGCACAAAGGAATACCAACTCCACTAAACCATTGGGTGACAAAAATGAAACTATGTAAGTGTTTCTGGTTTCCTTTCCCTTTCTTTCTCATCTCACAAATTTTTAACAATAAGGTATTTAATGGGGTTTGGATAAGAAGCCTCAGAAGCCGGTAAAAGGTCAATTGAGATCTCAGCACCAAAAAAGATTGTCTCTTTAAGATATGCTCCTTACTAAATCTTAAATAACAGAAAGCATGCCAATCGAGACCAGAAATTGAGCAGGGTCCAATGAACAACTTCCAATTATAATTATCCATTTTTGAATGTATAAGGAACTCATCACCCAACAAAAGCAGAATGGTGCAGAACAGAAACATAATAGTAGTTTTTAAGTGAAAATCAATGCTTGACATGTGTGGAACCACTGTATCACCTCACTTATAGTAAATAATTCTAATAGTTTATCAAGTGCAATAATTGAAACAATCAAATGGAGCAGCAGGACATTTTGAATGTATAAGGAACTCATCACCCAACAAAAGCAGAATGGTGCAGAACAGAAACATAATAGTAGTTTTTAAGTGAAAATCAATGCTTGACATGTGTGGAACCACTGTATCACCTCACTTATGGTAAATAATTCTAATAGTTTATCAAGTGCAATAATTGAAACAATCAAATGGAGCAGCAGGACATATAAGGTACCAGTGCAACACCAGCTTTCCAGAGCATTTACTGTGTATTACAATCCCATCATTTGATGGTACTCATATTGAAACCAAGACAAACAAGTACCAACATCCCTTTCAAATTGGAAACTACAACTATTTATGTCAACCAAAGTTTCAGCCGTGAAAACTCTGGCACTCTTCAGGCAATGGAAAAGTATTACTGATGGTGGCCCGAGGGAAGCATTAAAATCTACCTTTTGGTAATTCATTAAAGTTTGTTTCCAACTATAACCTCAGCAGCTTTAAACATGTAATATCTAGATTGAAGCACAACTTTCTTTTCGCCAAAGGTATTCATCTTGAAACAAATATATGCTTTGCCAGTATTATGTAAACGCTCAGCATCACAAACTTTCAACTTAAAACCTGAGTTTAGGATTTTAGGGGTGGTTTTCCATTTTACAATCATAAAAAAAAGGTACCAGCGCAGTTTGAATACAGTCCAATTCCAAAGAAGCCTAGTACTTTCAGGACTACCAGTCTATCTTCATTATGATAAATGCATGTATCTTTCCTATGATAAATGCATATGCAAATGCAAGTTGCAAGCAAGACCTAACCCACATCACCTCTTTATTACCTCCACTGAAAGAGCCACCAAAATGATTCACATAGACAAGGAAAGCTATTTCAAAAAAGTTGACAGCTTAAGCAAACTGTAATAACTTCTAGCAGCAAATTTGGACCATAATGTAAGAAGACTGTATAAATGAAGTGAGAGAAAGAACCCAGAGTCTTATCAAATTACAGTATACCAAACATCCATATCCAATTCCCAACTCTTCCCAAGGAAAGAAAAGTTTGGTTGAGAAACAACAGAAAGGACCCAATAACAAACAAAACCCTGCAAAAGTTAATGGGGAAAGATGCAATAGCAGTGGATATTATTAGAAAAAAACTGTAAGAATTAACAGAGAGGGACGGTTCAACATCAATAACAGACTTGGCCACTTTTTTTTGGGTGAAAAAGCTATCACCTTTTTTCTTGTTCAAAAAGATGACAGTGACACCAACTTTACATATTGGAAAAGAAATAAAAAGTAGTTAAGCCAGTTCAACTAAATAAATAACTAGATTTTCCCATTACGTAATCCAAACTTTTAATCATGAAAAAAACCAGAAGAATGTACTTTTGATTAACTAAATCAAACAAATGACGGGGCAAAACGACAGGTCTTAGGTAAAGAAAACGACGTCCAACCTTGTTACAACCAGGGACCAGCTCCTGTAACAGCTTCATTCTGGCATTAATTTTCTCCCTCCTTGCCTAATGATTCAGAAATGATTTTTTTCAGAATCAAAATATTGATACACAATTAAAAGCTAAGCTTACTTAGCGCTTAACTGTACACTAATTAAGAGGATTAAATTCTTACTCTTTCAGCTAAACTATGGCTATCGGTGGCCTGGCCCCGGCGAGCACGGACGTGGACGTACGGTAGCTTTTCTCCGCCATCGTCAGAGCTTTCATTTGCCGGCTTTTTACTCTTCTTGTTTGATTCTTTACCCTAATAATCAATAAATTGAGCTAGTTCAGCTAATTATTCGGAGAATATGGAGAAAACCAAACACATTAAAAGTGTGAATGTCACCTTTTTCTCCCGGTCCTTTCGCTTGGTGGACTTTGTATTCTGATCGACGGCTGGATTGGAAACTGCCGGAGATGAATTGGAGTTGGGGTTGGAAACCGAGTCCAATGGTTCTTCCTTCACGGTCCCCAATTTAGCCCTAGAAATTTCATCTGTACTCATAATGGAGGAGAATTTGGAAGCTCGTTCGACGAGAGCAGCGTCGGAAGGAAAGATAGGTACCGGCGCCGGAGGAGAAAGACGACATTCGGCAATTGTCGCTGAAGGATTCTGGGCGATGGTGGCCGCGTCTTCGGAAGAGTGGATTAAAAGTTCCATGGCTTGGTTTGCCGGGAGTTCGAGCAGCGCCGTGAAGGAGCTCCCGGAATCCGGAGGCACAGATATCAGCCGTTGTATTTCGTCGCCAATTTGGGAATTGAAGCCGGTTCCGATCAATTCGCCGGTAGGTGATCTAGCCGGAAGGGCTTCAACGGACTCCATTTCTTAAGCTCCGACAACGGGTACAATTCTAATTATATACCCGACCCGACACAGCCCAGCTTCACCTTTTCTATTTTACCCAACTAAACCACCTTAATTTTTTTTCAAAATTCAAAAGCAGTTCAACAACAGAACCCACGGAAAAAAAAAAAAAAAAAAAAGCTGCAGCTAATGAAACTGACTACTGAAACCCTAACACAAATGGGCTTCAGCAGGAAAGAAAAATGCCAGGAAGAAGAAAGAACGAAAATGGTTCTGTTCTGGGAATTTCCTTCATATCTGATGAAAGAAAGATGAAACCCTCTGGAAATGAAGATCAATTGTAAGTACAGAACGAAGAAAAGCCGACCCCCTAATCAAAAAATTACATAATTAAAAAAATCCCGGAGCCCTTTTTATTCTTCCCTCTGGTTCTTCCCGTAGTCAATTGTATAATGTAATCTGTTCAGTAAATATGGGTTTCTGCTTCTGCAACTGGAAAAATAATAATAATAATAATAATAATGAAGGATGGAGGTTGGGGATACTTTCTTCAATGGCGGTCAATCTCTGCTGTGGTGGCTGTGTATGCAGTGATTCTGGTTCTGGTTTATGGGTGGGGTTTTTTGGATTTTATATATAATTGAGTTTGGGGGGGCGGGAGGAGAAGATGGAAAAAAAGGGGGAAGGCGGAAACTAAAAACCAGAAAGGAGTAAAATGGTAAGGATGAAAGCAACCTTACTTGGGTCTGGTCTGGTCCCTTTCGTTTCTTTTACTGTGTTTATTACTTATATATTACTCCTATTTTCCTATCTTTCTCATCAGAGTTTCTTTCTTTTCTCTTGGTTTTTAAATGGCAATTTTATTTGCATTTTTTGGGTCTTTATTATTCTTATTACCATCAAAATTCAATTTTCAATATTCCCTCCGTTTTTGGAATAGTCAACAACAGGTGGACTTTTATTTTTCAAGGATCAAAACTGCATTTCAATTTTTGATTGATAAAAACAGTTGTATAGTTTCATTCAATGATCCAAGTTAATGGTGTTAATTTCTTTGTTGATAGAGATTGTAATTTAATAATTTAGTGATAACTAATAGTAACAATTTAATAGGCAGAAGGTGGAGGTAGAATTAGATTTTAAGGCAACTGTAGATAGTTTACATATGTATAAAATGTTGTCTTGTACCAACACATTGATCAAATAATTAATTGCTTTTTGTTTTAGCTTCATATTGTTAAAATATGATTAGTCATAAATTACATGTAATCATGTTTGTTGAACTTGATGCATGTAAAAAAAAGTACATATACACCAGCTAGGAAAATTTTATACGCATTTTTAAGGGATGGAAGCAGTAGTTATTATAAAAATGAGATTTGAGAAGGTCATGTTACTTCGGCTAGTGTACATTGCCGGTGTTTGTAGATTTTGCCAACAATAAGGGTAAGAAAACTTCACCTGCCTTTACAAAATACATCTACGTCTATTAAAATTAGAACACCAAATAAACACAATATGTATTCTAATCATGCAATTCAATGGCGCTATTACAATGTCGACATATCTCTTTTTTTTTTTTGAACAAAAGGAGAATTTTATTAAGACTTTAAAAAATTACACGATAATATTTCGAAGATACGCTATCTCTATTACATCGTGAAAAAGCTCCCTTGGAGATAGCGAATTCAGACGGGTAAGCCCATCCGGATTCGTCGCCGGTCGACATGTCTTTTTTAAACCTACCAAGCTGTTACTTTTACTATCAACAGTAGGTATATTGTCTACGAATAGCAAACTAGAAAAAACGAAATTTAAAAAAAGAAAAAAAACTTTTAAAAATTTTCCAGCAAATTCATTCGTAGCTGAAATAAATAAGTTAGTAGGATTAACTTCAATGTCGAAGCAATTGGAAATAAGCCCTAAAGTTTGAACTAAACTTTTACATATTGATGGCTTTTGGTTCATTTAGTCCGTGGATCAAATCGCAAATTGAGTTTAATCAAGAGTAACTAATTAATTTAACCCTAATACTGCCACAATTACTCTTTTGTTCAAATGGGAATCAAGACCGGGTCGGAGAAGGGTCCAAGTCGGTATTTTGGGGGGTGGGTGGTAGGGGACCAACCTAGGCTAACCAGCTACACCCTCTGTTTTTTCATCACAGAAGATGATGTGTCATTTTCTTTGCATTTACTCTTTGCTTCATTTATTTTTTTTATTTTTTTTCTTTCATTTTTTATTTTTGCCTTCTCGGGTTTGGTTTGTAAATTTCTAATTATGACAATGTAGACTACTTTGTCCTCTTGTTTCGCAAACCTTTTATGGTACAAATTGACTCTGGTGATTTTTTTTATTTTTTATTTTTTGCTCTTTCATTAATGTAGAATGAAAAAAAAAAAATAAATCTAGTACAGCAGTATTTAGTTTTCCCATTCCAATCAGAACAAAAAATTTGTGTAAAAAAAAAAACAAAAAAAATTTATTTGTTTTGTTTCTTGTAGAATCACGGAAATTATGACAGAGTTTTCATCTGGAGATCTAAATGATCACTGTTTAGTTTTCACTTTTCTCTTGGTTGACATAATAAGGTCTAAATTAGATATTTGATGAGTTCTTACATGTCTTTGTCAGAGAGCTCAAAGGTTCGTCCACAAAATGTTGTGACCTTAGGAAACTATGGTAATACTACAAAGGAAGATGAGGGAGCTGCATGTGTATTGCAAACTTTCTATAATCAAATGTTAAAAAAAAAAATCCTCTTTTGTTTAATTTGTCAACTCCCTCCCCACCCTCCCCCTCGACAGAAAAGAGTCAAACACTGAAAATTCCTAAAAGGTAAAAATGGGTTTCACTGCCATTCATTCTCGCGGGAATAAGACCAAAGAAGAATCGAAGAAGATAAAGAAAATCCCTGAGAAGAAAAATATAATAAATGATTGCTAACTGAAATAGGCAAAGATATATACAATTGAGGATCATTTTTTTCGTTTCTCTTGCTTTTGACTATATATGATCTCCTCAATTGAAATTACCGAGCTTCTTATCAAACCAAGAGAAAGTGAAATAAATTATACTCCCTCCGGTACTTAATATAAGGTATTTTGATTTGTCTTGTGTTTCATTTAGTGTGTATTTTTAATTGACAAAAAAATTTTAAAAATATTTCATAATAATCAATTGAGCACAACGAACGTGACAATATTCTTTTAAGATTTTTTCGTCAATTAAACATATATACTAAGTGAAACATAAAACAAATCAAAATGCCTAGTATAAGGCATTTTGATTTCGTCCTAGGTTTCACTTAGAATGTATCTTTAATTGAAAGAAAAACCTTTAAAATATATTTTCATATCCGTTGTGCTTTCCTAATTATTATGAAATATTTTTAAGGTTTTTATTTTAATTAAAAAGACATACTAGGTGAAATATAAGACGAAATCAAAATGACTTATAATAAGGACCGGAGGGAGTACTTAATATGGTAGTAAAAACATAGTTTAGCAATAGTTAAGAGAAACATGTAGCTAGGTTAATAATTGTGTAAATCCAAAAGTGACAGCTAAATTGAAATGGAGGCATGGAGCTCATACATATTCCCAAATTATGAGAAGTAGGATAAACGGGTTAAGATCGACCCTCAATGTGAGATATGGGAAATAATTAGTTGTTCTTTTCGTGCCTTGTCTTCCTATCTCACAACCTTATTAAAACAAGTTACAAACTGTATCCTTTAAAATTTTTTGTTCTTCCATAAATGTAAAAGATAATCAAATTGCATCTTTTAGGCTTTATAGGTATATACTTAAGAGTCATGACCAGAAAACATTAGTTCTTCTTGGGATATATCTCGATGCAATATAATTGTGATGTGTTCGTATGAGTGAGCTCTCTTAATTAAGGTATCCAATCAAGGCTAAGATTTGAATTAATCCAAATGTGATCGATGTTTATTTAGAATACCTCCTAATTTATATTATTATTAAAAAAAAAAAGAAATACAAGTGATAGTGAACTGAAATTATTTGAGATAAAAACTTTTTAAAAAAAAATAAAAGAAGAAGGAAAAAAATTCTGCATAGGGAGGGGATGACAGTCAAATAGCAAAATAAATGTGACAGAAGACCGAAGTTATATTGAATGTGAAATGAGTGATGAGTATAGTACCATGCTCTATATATACCCGTATAGAACCCAATCATGGCCAGCCTCTGAACAAATATGACATTTCACCTTGCCAATTATAGAACCCAAGATCCAGTACAAATTGAAAATAATCAATTCATCAAATTGATTAACCTCTCTTTTTTCCTTTATTTATTTATGTATTTATTTCTTTTAAATATCTCATCATCATGAAGTCATTTGGCTATCTCATTTCCCTTCATTCTATCTCATGCTCAAAGTAATGATAAGAAATGGATTCGAGTGCAATTAGAATTACCTAGTAAAGGTATAAGATATGGTAATTGTAAGATGGAACATTAAAATTTGGTTAGATACATTTAGAATGGACTCGGGAAAAACATTTAACAGGAATGGGGATACTAGAGGCTTTTTTGTTCAGAGTTTGGCAGGTGGATGATGATAATTGCATTTTTGTACAGAAAGAAGCTTTTGAGCACGAAGGAAAAAAGAAAAAAGAAAAAAAAAAGGATCAAATGACGAATTATCTGAAACTGTACAAATGTACATCGTAATGTACACACCCCCAGTTTTGGATCAAGGGAACACATTTGTACGGCTATTTTGCCTTTGGCGAGAATTTTCTATGCACTGCAGGTACACATTACACAATCTGGATTTTAGATACGAGAATTTGTTCTGTTATTATTATAAAATAACGATCTTGTTAGATGTATTCGGTCTCAAAATAATTATCTGATTAATCTATTATATTAATCAGACATTCACTTCTTTTTTTTAATCGAAAGGAATAAATAATCAGGCTACATATATGGACTCATAAAAGCTCAATGCCAAAATGAGACTCGAGTAATGATACTCTCTCGATT